CACGATTGCCAGGGCTGTGTGAGCTTGAAACATAGCATAAGCGTAGCACACACTACAACCACTACCGCATCACTACGTATCGCAGCCCGGCACGTGCTGAGGGGTGAGGTTCCTGCGTTTTTTAAATCGTGCCTCGACAGACTGCTCTGTCGAGGCACACGGAGCTACTACTTGTCCGTCGATGAGACGTACTGGCATGCCGCCTACGACATGGTCTGCGGCCTCTTCAATGAAGCGGAACGGGTCATTCTTGGAGGCTGCTTCAGTACGGATGCCTCGGAGGACTTCAGTCGACTAGGTCCGGATGCAGCGCTTTCTTCCCTTCCGTCCGACAGGCTTTGCAAGCTCAGTCAGCATGTGTGCATGTGCAGAAGCGACACCAACAAGCAGTACTGGGAGATTTGCAGCTTGCCGGTCAGCTCTACCACAACCTGGGACCCTGCTAGCTCCAACAAGTCTGCAGACATGATGTGGCTCATGGGCCATGTCTTGCAGCAGTGCGTCGTGGCCAACAAACTGCCACCCGTCGGCTGTGCCATGGATGGCGGTTCTACAAATGCAGCACTGCGAGGCGTGCTTCTCGGCACCAGGTCAATCGACGAGTTCGACCACTTGCCCTTCTGGTCGTCGTGCCACCACGAGAACCTCAACCTTGGTCCGGAGGCACCGTTCAGATGGCTGGTTCACAAACCCTCCGGCTGCACCATCCTGCCCAACTTGGACACCCTGCACACGTTGAAGCGGGTGACGTGCCATGCAAACAGCGGCGCCCGGACCATCCACGTCGGTGCCGTGGCTGGGGCTCAAAAGCTTCATCCTCAGCGACCAGCAAAGTGACAGGGAGAGCATGAACCGGATCAATCCGACAACTGGAGTTCCATTGGGCATCACCTGGTGGCGCTGATCTGCAGCATGATGAGTCAGGGATCCGAAGCGGGCGGCGATTTGACCGCGGCCGACAGGCTGCTCACCTCCGCCACGACCTATTTCCTCCTGCTGATGGCGGCGATGGAAGTGATGCTCAGGTTTGGCAAGCAGTGGCAGCAGTACTTTTGGCCGGCGACAACACTCAGGAACTGCTGTCATTGCTGCATCTCCAACGTGATGTCCTCCATGCGGCCGGGAGACGCCGTTCGCGACAGCTTCAATGCTCAGACCTTTGCCGAAAAGGTCTCGGAGTTCTCCTTTGCCTCTATCATGCAAGAGGCCTTACCACGGAACACCCACCATGGCTCAAGGTGTGACCGGCTGCTATCGTCATCACCTCTCGCAACTCCGCACTGAGCTCCAGCTTCCGCCTCGGAAGTTGGACCTGGTCGGTGAAACGGATGCCAAGCGGCTGTGGGAGCAAGGGAAGCGGGAAGCTGCTCAGACCCTTTCCTTTGTGTCTTTGGATCGCCAAGCCTCCACCGTACTGGAGGACTTCAAGCTTTGGTTTCGCAGCACTGGCCGTGAACTCCTGACACAGACCAAGGCGACCGAGTTTGACGACGGCGAAGCGGAGCTGATCCCCGAGGACGTGCCGGAGGCTGATGAGGTCGAGGCCGAGGACTTGATGATCCAGGCTGTCGAGGACCACGTGCAGAACAAACTGGAGACGGCGGAGATCGAGGCAAGTTTGGACAAGCCCCCGGAGGAGACAGCGACATCGGGCGCCGCGGCGGCTGCAGCTCCTCATGCTCCAGCTCCTGATGATCCAGCTCCTCATGCTCCAGCTCCTGATGCTCCGGCTCCTGATGCTCCAGCTGTCAAGGTTTGGTCGGGGCTGCTGAGCAAGCTCGCCACCCTTGAGGAGTTCAAAGACATGGGCACGGACGAGGCCAGGTCAATGAGGGGGCTGCTGCTCCGCCCCTCGGATTCGTGCTCTATGCGCGGCAGCACGCATTGCCGAGGGCGTGCTCTCCAAAGGGTCGTACGTCGGCACGAGTTCCAGAGCGACTTTCATGCTGTTCACGCGGAGCTGGCCGTAGCTCGGCAAGCCTCTCTTGAAGACGGCAAGACAGCAGAGCCGCAGCTTGGTTCGGTGTCCAGAAGAAGGTGCAGGCGGTCGTGGACAGCGAGAGCACAGGCGAGAAGGGCATCACTGCCACGACACACGTCAAGCCTTATACAGGCAGAGTGACCGCCCGATGGTGGTTGCCTACAAGGTCGAGGAGGCTGGCACCGCTCGTGTGGAGTTGGGGATCTTGACCTCTGTTTTCCGAGGCGGCGTCGCCAGAGCAGACACGAGGCGAGTGCGGATCACCAGACCGGCAGTGCACGCTCTGTCGCTGCTGTCGTGTGCCCGAGTCCGTATCTTCCGGCTCGGCGTTGCGGGCAACTCTGGGCTGCAGTTCGCCGCCTCCAGCAACACCGTCATCGACCTGGTGGATCCCGTCGGCTGCATCGTGGCACAGCTGGAGCCTGCGATGGTGGACATGGAGGCCTACAGCAGGAGCTCCTTGGTTATCGTGCGGTTCAGTCAGCAGACCATCGACGGCCTGGAAAAGATCAAGCAGGAGGCTCTCTTGAGCGAGCCGGCCCTCCTTGCCCCATCGGCCACGGCCATCGCCCAGTCGAGCGAGGCTTTGGGAGAGCTCACACACCGTGAGCTGCAGCCCACGGTCCGAGGAACACAGACCCTGGTACGATTCATGCAAAGGCTCCCGCAAGCATACGCCGATCGCGGCATCGTGCTGCTCGAGGATGGTCAGGATGTGATCACGATCAAGGGCGTCGACTACAAGTGGAGCCAGGTCTGCCTTCGCTGTCCCGACTTTTTCGAGACTACTGCTGCCAAAGCCGCCCCAAAAGACTACGGCAAGATGGTTCTGAGTAAACTCCTCACCATCAGCCCTGAGAATGGTGCGGCAGGGATCGCTAAGCTGAAGGCTTGGGTTCCCGCGATCATTGCGGCTTCGATGCCGACTTTGACTGCATGAGCTCCTCGCATCTCCTCGCATGCTGCTGCCCCTTGGATTGAAACAGTTCGTCACGCAAGGCCTCGTGCAAACTCATCCTTGTTGCACGTGCAATCCGACTAGGTCTGAGACATCTGCTGTGAGATTGCTTGGGCGCCAGCCTCGACTCACAGCCGCTCGTGCGACGGTGTGCTGAGCTTTGCTTGCCATTCATCCGCTGAGGCAACTTTTTGGCCACACGTGGCCACGAATTGCCTCGAAAGGGCGAGCTCCTCAGTTGTGCCGGTCGCGATTCGAAATACAAGACCTATCCTAAACACATGCCCCCGAGGCTGGATGAGTGCCGCGGCTCGCCGCGAGTGGATGCATGCACATGCCGATCTGGAAAAAAACGGCCCGAGCGAGTGGATGCATGCACATGTCGATCTGGATGTGTATATATATATATATATATATACTATAACACTCGACACTTCTCCTCTCGCTTGCTGCTCTCTGACTCTCGCGATTTCGTCTCGCCATTGCCGTGACTTTTCGTATTCCGGGTTCCGGGGTCTGGGGGGGGGTCATCGACTGCATTCCGCAACATGTCTCTGCACAGGGGATTCTGGTAGTGGGGGTCCCCCCATCCCAAATGGAAATTCCATTTTGGATCCTCCCCCCCACCCAACATGTGGGGGATTTCAACACGCCTGCAGGCTAGGCCTTTGCCATTCAGGGTCGTGGGATGTTATGGTAAGGAGTCTACGCTCCTGAACCCCATGAACCCTAAAGTGTCTGGTCCTCAGTAATAGGGAATGGGGGAATGTATTATGGGGACTATTATTGGGGATTATATGGGACTAATGTAGGGGTCCATTCCCCCATTCCGTACTAAGAGCCAGACGGTAAATCGCTAATCCCTGAAGCCTAAACTCCCTCACCCCGCACAGCCCTAAACCAACAACCCTAAAAGCCAACCTAGGATGCCCAGTAGTACCCTTATTCCCTTTTTGTAGTCCTAGGTTCCTTATAAAGTTACCCAATACCAAAAAGAGAGGCCTTTTTATTCTTAGGTTGCTGGGTATCCTAGCAACCCTGCACCTTACTCGCGAAATTCTGACATCTCGACACCTCCCAAGCCAGCTACGACTGCTACGAGAAAATGGCATACACGGCCCGAGCCAGGCTGATCCGACACCCTTGATACGGTAGATGATATAGATCCCTGCATTACCCATGATAATGACTATACTAAAAATTCCAATAGTTTAGGGTCCTGAAGGTAATGCAGGATGTATATCACCAACCTAAACCGTATATTCCTAAATCCTTATAGATCCCTCAAAGGAACCTCCTTAAGGTACCCTTATAGATCCCTTTAACGGAACCCCAGATGTATATCATCAACTCTAGGACACTCTGACGGGGGAGCAGACTTGGGAGGGCCCGGGTGCTCGTCGACGGGTGTGGGTGAACCGTCTTAGTGCCGCCCCTGGTGTCCCGACACCCTCAAAGCAACCCTAACTAACCTTTGATATTGGAGGAGCTAAGGAGCCAGGGATGATGATAATCCCTATTGAATAAGGAGTTAAAGAGCCCAGGGAACCCCAAAACCACTGGTTAGCTAAACCCTAAACCCCCTAACCCAGAGAGCCCGAGACAGACCCGCCAGAACCGGGGGCAACTGTCGGACCTTGTAGCCTGCTAGCCCCAGACTTTTTCTTCTAATGAGCTCGAAGACCTGCTGCTGCCCTGTTTAGGGTTTACGGGTTTAGGGGGGTTTAGGGTTAGGGTTTAGGGTTTAGGGTTAGGGTTTAGGGGTTTAGGGTTTAAAGTTTGGGCCCCATAAATAGGTATTTTGGGGGTTGGTATTATGGTAGGTTTGTAAGGTAGTATATGGGAGAATATGTGAACATTAGGCACCTGAGCCCGTAGGGTTTATCTTTACAAAAGCATATGAACGGTAGTCATTGAATCAATAATAAGCCCTAAACCCTAAACTCCAATAATCCTGTAGAACCTGCACCTGACAGTGGTATAGATCCTGCATTACCCATGATAATCAGGCCTATACCGTAATTCCCATAGTTTAGGGTCCTTAAGGTAACCTGAAAAGAGGAGAGCGCCCCTGCCGTCTCGAGAGTTCAGAGCATAACGGCGAGCAAAGAAGTGGCTCGAAGGCCGTTTTTTCTTGGTCGTGTGACTTTGTGTTTTGGGCTCAGGTTTTTGTTGGGTTAAGGGCATTTTTATTGGTTCCTAAGTGGTATCCTTTTGCTCTTTTTGTCTTAGGGTCCCCGTATTAACATAAACCGAATAGTAGGAAAAGCCGAACCCTTATTATAATGGGGCTACTCAGGAACCTAGTATATAGTAGATGCTTAGGCCTTACGTTGCCCAAAAGGGGCTACTTGAAGGCTTAAGTAGAGGCTACTTAGGAACCTAGGCCCAGTGCCTTGGTTTGGTGACTTTGTGTTTTGGGATATAAGGGTTCGTGTGAGGGTTCCTATACAGTAGGGGTTCCTTTACCTTTGAGGGTTACCTTTAAAGGAGCCCTTTAAGGGATGCTTTAAAGGGTTTAGGGTTTAGGGTCCTTTAAAGGGCCCCTTTAACAGAGCCCTTTCATAGGATTCCTTGTCGGGGTTGTCAAGGATATTGCAAAGGTTGAGATTGCGTACTGCCCCCACTCTGTTACAGTTGGACTACGATGTAGTAGGGTGATATAACGCCCAAAAGGTTACAGGCTACCTACTCAGCTCAAGTATACCTCAGACCGCTCTGAAGCAAAGTCCTCAAAACACAAAGGTTGGTACTGCCGTCATTTTCCAGCAGGCTATGTTACGGGTCATATGAGGGGCTATACAATCTAGTTATATTGCATCTCTTGCTGGGTGAATGCGCTTTACACTTTTTGGAAAATAGTACCCACTATAAAACCAACAGTGTACACTTTATGGGGGCTTATGAACTCAGCAACTAAGACCTCCGTCCCTATGGGATGAACTTTTGTTTGTGGGCTCTTGCCATCTTTAGTGTTTGTGTGGGCTCATCACACCTTATCCGGCTCGTCTGCAAGAGTTGTAGAAGGGTTTCTTTCGGGGCTCGAGGGTTGATAGAAGCTGTCAGGGTGCAGGTTCTGAGTGTCAAGCTGTCTTTTCATAGAGGCCGGTGGGGTTTGGGTTTTACAGCGCTTGGGGGGAGAACAGGGACGCGGGGCATACGGAACAGGGACAAATGACAAATCGCCCTATGTTTCAATTTACTTGGACCTGAGTCACCTCCACGAATGCAGAAGCATCGATGTGTAAAGATAGGGTTTGGGGTGTAATCAGGGGCTCGTATGATCATTCCGGTAGAATCCGTATGCGTGCAACCCGAACCACTAACCGACTAACCACCGCCACTGCACCTAACGAGCATTCATACGAAGCCTAAACTCTAAATCTTAAGTACCCCAAAATCTAAACCTCAAGCAGATCCATTGAAGCAATGATTGGGGGCTCTCCTGCCTGCGACTCCAGGAACCTAAACTTAAAACCCTAAACCTTAAATAAACGCCCTAAGCCCTAAACCCCAACCCCCTCCTCCAACAAAAAAAAACTAAACCCCTTAAGCCCTTCACCCCAAATCCTAAACCCCCTACCCCTAAACCCTAAACCTCTCAACCGTAAGGCCTGAGCCCCCTAAACTCGTAAACTCCCGTTAAAGGACCCTCAAAGGGAACCGTATTCTAGAACCCTTTATGGAACCCCTACACTCCTAGTGACTTCCAGGGCCCAGATAGACTTCTGGGAGCTTCATCGCCTGCTTGGGGAGCGATACGAGGTGCCCGCTTTTTGGGTTCCCTGGTTCTGGGGTTCCTGTAGCTGCGGAATATGCCTCAGGATTCCTTTAAATGGCTCCTTAAAAGGGATCTATATGGGTTCTATAACGGAATTGGGGTTTAAGGGTTCCTTGAAAGGGTATTACAGGGGTTTCTTTGAGGGTTCTTTTAAGGGCTATAGCGGGTCTATAATGGGGTTGGGGGTTTTAGGGGTTTAAGTAGCGTTTAGGAGTTTGGGGGTTTGGGAGTTGGAGTTTGGGGTTTATGAGTATATGGGTTCAGACAAGAAGGGCTTGGGGTGTAGGGGTTTACTAGGTTATGGTTTAGGGGTTTAGGGGTCTATTAGCGTTTAGGGGTTTAAGAGGTTTAGCTTTACGGGTCTAAGCGGTGCAGAGTTCAAAATTTCATTCCGCACATTTTTATAATGCCTCAAAATGCGCGCAAACAGGCATTATAGGGGCTTACTAATCTCGAACTAGAAATCCTGCGGGGGGGGTGGACGGATCAGGCTTTGACTCCTCAGCCTGACTGCACGGTTTAGGGTTTAGGATTTTGCCCCCAAACCCAAACTTTCAGGCAGGTGTAGCTTCGTGTAATGTAAAGGCCTGCCCATTCTGAAGCTGAAGCCTAAATCGTTACACCCCTGAACCCTTAACCTTAAGCCCTAAAGCGTTAACGCTAAACCCTTAACCCTAAAAGCGAAAAAAAAACAAAAGCTAAGCCCTCAAACCTCCTACCTATAGTCTCCATTGTAGTTCCTTGTTTTGGTTAACCAGTGTTATGGTTGGGATCCTACCATATAGTTTTTGGGTGAACCAAAAAAGGAACCACAATGGAGACTATACGTAACTCTTGTAAGATAATACCCTAAACCCTCAAAGCTTAAGACCCAACGAAAATCTAAGCCCTCAAACCCCCTAGACCCTGAGCCCCGAGGCGGACATGAAGCAACGTTCAATCAGCAAATGTTCGAGCCCGCCGATGTCTGCCGTGCCGGATGCGATTATCGGAAGCTTGACGTTGCCCCAAAAAATCTTACCAAGGGGGGGGGGTCTGCACAGGATTCCCTTCAAGGGCGCTAGGGGGTTCTATAGTAGGGTTCCATTGAAGGGTTCGTGTGGCTAGATAGCAGATTAATTAGGAGTTTTGGATGCGACTCGTATACTTACGTTGAGGGTTCATGCGCCAAGGTCGTTTATTGGTATACCGGTATACACCTTCGCTTTAAATGCAGTGAACATTGCCCTTAACTGCCTAAACAGTACACTAGCAGATACTCTGGCCTTAATTGCCCAAGTGGGTTCATGTGGGTTCGTACATTCTACATTCTGCTTTGGCATGTATTGAGGGGTTCGCATAAAGGTCATATAGGTACTTATTCAGGGCCACGTAGAGACTTTTTGTGTTCATGAACCCTTGCTGTCAGGCTTTTCGGTTTACCGGGTTTACAAGTTACCAAAACAAGGCAACCCTACTCTTTACTATAGATCCCTACTATGATAGCTTAAGTTAGGTCATAGTGACCCTTAGGGGGGTAGGGGGGAGGGGGTAGGAAACTATACCTCCTTACATAGGCCTTACGAAGTCCTTCTTTTTGGTATTAAGGCCCCCTAAGCCCCCCCGTCCAGCTACCCCTAAGGGTCCCTATGATGAGAGGACTCTGACGGCATTTTCAGCTCTACTGGGTAGTTATAAGGGTTCCGTTAAAGGGTCCCCTTTGATGGGATCTGTAGGGATTCCATAAGGGTATAGGGTCTAAGGGCCCCTATGAATGAGAGTCCTTAGCAAGAAGCCAGCTTAGGCGTTTCCTGCTCCATCGCTGAGGGCTCAGACTTTCAGTCTCTTCACGTCCCTATCAGTTTTTGGGGTTTAGGGCCTTTTTCTTGGTTTTGCGACTTTGTGTGTGTTAGGGTTTAGGTCTTAGGGCCTCTTTTCTAGGTTTCTGAGTAGTAGCCGTTTGCACTTTGTTTCTGCTAAGGTCCCCTTACTTAAACGGAGTAATAGGGAAAAGGGTATCCTTCTCATAATTGGGTTGCACAGAAACCTAGTATATCGTAGATGCTTAGGCCTTAAGTTGCCCAGAAAGGGGCTACTTTAAGGCTTAAGTATATACTTTATAGGTATATAAACATACAGGCGACTTTAAGCCCTGAGTTTTCACCCCAAGCCCTATCTTAAAGCCCGACACTTTAAGCAAATCTTAAATGCTTTCACAAGCCTTATGACATCCCTAAGCCTAAGCCCTAAACCTCAAACTTTTCTGAAGCCCCGAAACCCTATAAGCCCAGAACGAACCAGAAGACTAAGATCTAAGCCCAGGCAAGCCCTTGCCTTCGCCCACAGGCAAGAGGGTTCAGGGTTGGTTTATGGTTTCTGCCTTGGAGCTTCACAGAGAGGGCTTTGGGTTTGAGTATCAGGATTTGGGCTTCAGCGTTGAGTTTGCAGGGCTAAGCGTTTAACTGAGGGCTCAGAGCATGATCTAGTATGAATGCAGGCACACCGTATACTAGACGGAGTACATGAAAAGTATGCGTCTTTTGCAACTATGCTGCACAGATCCAGCTTAGACGAGGTAGCAGTTAAGTTCTACTTCTTCGCGGTCCTAAAGTTGCAAACTTCAAAACCTGTACAGAACTTGCAGAGAGGGGGGTCATCGTTCGGATGTCTACGTGCCGCCCAAACCCCAAACCCTACAGTAAACCCCATAAAGTTGGAAGCCGGATTCAGGCCAAATAGTGCTGGGATTCCCTTTGGATGACTCTTAAGGATTGAGGCTATTGGGTTTCCAACTTTTTGGCTTCTACTGTAACCCCTGCGGTACTTGATCTCCGAGGTCTCGGGTTGGGGGTCGCAGGGATTCGGTTTAGTGTTGAAACCATCGGTGGAATTTCACGTTAGGGCCGCGTAGGTATCAATTTCTGCCATACTCCCCAGACCTGACTTCATAAAATTATAAAAAAACAAACCCTAAACCCTGAAGCCTGAAACAAAACCTCATAAAGAAAAAGAGCAAACCTCAACCCTAAACCCTATCCCTCCAGATACCTTATTATGGGGTCCTTAAGGGGTCTAGGGCCTAACTATGAGGTGCTTGGAGGGATAGGGTAAACTTTTCAGCAAAAAGCACAGAAAACCCTACATTCGAAGGCCCGAAAGGATGGTCGAAACCCTTTAGCATGCTTGGGCCAGGGAGGGTTTAGGTTTTAGGGGAGTTTAGGGTTTAGGGGTTTAGGGTTTAGGGTTTAGGAGTTTAGGGTTTAGGGGAGTTTAGGGTTTAGGGGTTTAGGGTTTAGGGTTTAGGGTTTAGGAGTTTAGGGTTTAGGGGTTTAGGAGTTTAGGGTTTAGGGTTTAGGGCTTAGGGTTTAGGGCGGTTTAGGGTGTGCTGCTCACTTCAGTGTAGGTTCCGAAGAGCTGAACCCTGAGCCCAAGCCCCACCTGGACCCAATTGAACCATTGTTTTTTATGGCTCCCTCTTATGATGGCCTTGCGAAAATCCTAACAAAGGTAGGTTCTTTAGGGTCCAGGTATGCGACCACAAAGCGCGGGGAAGCGCGGCCTCGATCAGAACATGAAGGCGTGTTATGAACATTTCGACTACGACACCCACCTCATCGTCATGATAGACCTGGTTCATGGCATTCGAATGCGTTCTGGCAATACGTGGAAGCCTATCGCCGTTGGTTATTTGGACTCGCTTTGCCATCATGCCTGGGACGTTATGCACGCGGAAAATTCATTTATGTGAGGCCTATGCAGTGGCGTGCGGTTCCTTTCCGCCAGAAGCACTATTATATAAGCTATAAACCTTGATAAATCAGCTGACAAGAATCACTCCGTAAACCCGAAACCCTAAACCCTAAACCGGGTTTAGTTTAGGGTTTGGGGTCCTAAACCCCAAAGCCTGTAAGGCTCTAAGCATAGCCAGGAAGATCTTCCCCAGACGAGACGAGGGTCTTTTAGGGATTCTAGGGTTCTTTATAGGCTTGGAAGCGCACTATAGGCTTATCATAGAGAGTCAGTCTTTACAAGGATACCTTTACTAGATTTTAGGGATTAGGTTCTAGGGTTTAGTGTTGTTTGAGCACCGAGCATGTACCTACCATGAGGCTTGGTAAAAGACTATATGGAACCCTGTCAACTTCCTATGAAAGCAATTTCAGCCATTACGGGTAGCTACTTCCCCGAGAAACAGCTGCACATATACCCTAAGCCCTGAACCCTAACCGCAAGGGTCCAAAGGACCCAATAATTCGGTACTCGGTTTTAGGATAGTAGTTATGTAGGTTAATATTTTGGACAGTATATGATTATTAGGTACTTGGACCCTTGGGGTAAGCCCCTAAGCCAAAAACTCATGCTTCAGGACTGCAACCTGCAGGATTGCAACCAGCTCCTGGGGTTCCTGCGTTGAAGCGGCAACAGAGCTTTCCAGCCGCATTTACGTTTGACCTTTCAGTTGTTGAGGTGGCCTGTAGCCAAAAGAAACCTACAGGTTGAGGATGCCCTATCAGGTTTCTTTGATATGGGAGTTTCCGCAAATTAGCGGTACCTTTTAGGGGGGTCCTTATAATAAGGATCCTACTAAAGTAACTATGTAGGGTACTTTTTTAGGGTCCCCTGTTTTCGGCAACTTCCGTAGATGTCCTGAAACAAGTCGTTCGAAGGCCTTTGCGATGCAGCTAGGGGTTTAGAGCTTCGTGCTTGATGTGCGGGGGCAAGGGGTTTAGGAGCGGGGGCTTAGGGTTTTGGGTTCGGGTGTTGATGATTAGAGCTTCGGGCTTTGGGCTCAACTTGGGGTGCAAGGTTGTTTCGATTCCGTTCTTGAGCTTAAACTGGGCACTTTGTTTCCGGGCGCCATGAGCCCCTAGTGAAAACGAAGTCGCATGTTGCAACAATCCAGAACCGGTGGAAGCACTTTGGCAAAGTAATCCATCCCTGCGCGATCAAGTTTCGCGATCGTGACGGTTGAACCTGGGTTAAGGAGATATCAGATGTCCTGATAGTGTCCTCATGTTGTGAGGCAGCTGCAAACTTGAGGGGTTGGTGTCATGTAGGATGTCAATCTCCGTCTTGGACCGCAAAGGCACAGTTCGGATTACTCCTTAAACCCCGACAATGCCTTAAGGTAACGCGCTCCTTAATGACCATGGGGTTTTGGCACTGTCCATGGGTGCGTAAGTTTTGCAAAAAACGCTGCAATTGTGGGGTTGTGTGCACTTTGTTGACCACAAGGTTTGTTTCGAATGCTTTCAAAGTACCGTTGTTGCCAGGGTTTTGTGTGCCGAAGCACGAAAACACTGGCCCCCAGTGGGAGATTGGAAACCTTCCGAACACGAATTATGCGGCCGGCCTCTTTTTCACAAATTAATTGTTGTTCTTGGCATCTGCCAACCGACGAAGGTTCGTCGACAGACGGAACACGCAGGAAATTTTATGATTGTGATGGTGATGATGATTATGATGATGGTGCATGTCTTGATGATGTGAAAATACTGTTCTTTTCAGGGTTTTGTGCGTCGAAGCACGATGATGATGGATGATGCCTGCATACTGATGATATTCATCGGGATGGTGGCGATGTGGACGTCATTACACCCCCCACCCCACCCCAACCCCACCCCCCCAAGCAGGGTAGCCTTAAAACCGCAAAAACCTGCCAAAGCCCCATGGTCATCAAGGTGCGCGTTAGCTTAAACCCTAAGCATTGTGTTTACAGAGCACCGGATGCATCGCTTTACATGCCGGCTAATTTCAGTATCGCAGCATTCCTAAATAGGTTGAATTTTTGTTGAAGGAAGAGGCCGCACAACTTCAGCTGTGGGTAAATACTCCGTTTCATGCACGCCACAAGCAAGGACATCTGCAACAGCAACTGTGCGCTAACCCGGGCTCCAGGCAGCAAAACTTACCGGGGACAACCAACCGGCACGCTCATGGAATGCAAATACAGCTCTAAAGTTCAACCGTAGACTCAGTATTTTGCACCAAGATTGTCCTAAGCAGTACTGTCGAAAAGCCTGACAGAACCTGGGCCCCAAACAAGGCGGAGGAACTTTAAACTTTTTTCAAATCCCGAACCGACACCGGTGAACCCAAAAAGGATGACACACTCTGGGGAGCAACAGAAGGGCAGCAACGCCCTTGTTTGCGGCGGTGCGTGCTTTGCCTTTGCAGGAGCAGCTAGCGCAGCACAGCCTGTGCTGCTGCAATTGAAACAAGTTTGGTTATTGATCGATTTGCCTTGCTCCTGCAACTCCTGGCACGCGGGTCTGAACAGGAAAAGTGTGGCGTCGTCCTGCACACTTGCTCACCTACCCGTCCGATCAGCAGCAGCATTCGCAGTGCTCAGTGGTGCACAGGTCAGCTCGCCGGGACTCAAGGTGTAGTAGTCGAGTAGGTAACCTTTAACCTTTTTGGGTAGTACAGCCCCTGTATAATCCCTATATACGCAAAAAGGTAAACCTTTAGTTCCCAATGATACCCGACAAGTAGGGAGGGAGGCATTCTGAGATTGGAGTGTTTCGGCAATTTCAAGCCACAACCCCGGCTCAGCAGCCTCTATCCACCGCGAGTCGATGAACCGTGCGCGACACAGTGCAAAACGATAGGCTAGTGGAGATGATTCCGGCGCCGACTGCAAAAAGCGACAATGGTGACGGCAATCTTGTCCAACTTGCAGCACTCTCCGGCAGGCACTACAACTCTGGTTCGTTTTGTTGAAAACTTTCTCACACCTCAGATTCTTACACTGTTAAGAATGCAAAGAAACACGGCGCCCTGTGCGCCCGCACCCGTCTTAGGTTTGGGCACTTGGTTTAGGAACGTTGGCTTTTGATACCTGGCCCCTCGCAATGCTGCTTGCCGAAGATTTGAATGTCTGGCTTTTCAACTTTCCGCAGTTCCTTGTTGTCGACTTTGATGAGAATGCTTTCATGTCAAAAACATGCAAGGGATTTTGGTTAAGGCTTCGGGGGTGTTGGTTTGGTTGGGGGCCTTCGGTGAACCACAGAAATTACCCGGCACCCTAAAACTTGTAGGACTTATAGCCGAACCCTAAACCCTCCACACCCGCTAGAGCCCCAAACCCTCCAATCCCTATCAGCCCAAAGCCTCCTCCTAAACCCGAAGGGTCCATGTACTCATATAGTATATACATTGGCCTTAATGTCGTCCCTATATAGGTAATTACTTTGGGGCTCATGTATCTCTATATGGGTACATGGACCCTTAGGGAAACGGCTTAAACACACGATCCTATAAATCGTATGAGCCCTGAACCCAGACTCCAATTCAGACCCCTATAAACCCGATGAGCCCGGTAAGCCGTAAATGCCAAGCTGCTAAACCTTGCCCCTTATAAACTCTACAAACCCTCGAACCTTAATCCGAAACTTGAACGCTTCTAAGAACGCTAAACCCTAAACGCCATAAGCTCTATTCCTTTTGACCCTAAACCCTAAGATCTAAACCTTTTCCTGTTGCAGACGAAAAGGGTCCCTTAAACAAAAAAAGAACAAACAACTTTTCTTGTTAGACATCCAGGTTCTCTGGCAGCCTTCAAGCGCCGAGTGGTCTGGCCTTTATGGTGACGGGGTAAGGGGTTTAGGGTCTAGGGGGTGTGGGGTTTTCCGGTTTCGTGGGGTTAGGGGTTTAGGGCGTGTAAGGTTTATGTACTGTAGGGGGATTCAGGTCTCATGGTTTATTTGTTGAGGGATTTGGTCTTGGGGTGGCTATGGCTACTGCTTTTACTGCTACTACCACTGCTACCACTACAACCACTACTAGCACTACTACCACGACACACGGCGACATGACGACGACCACTACTACAAATATAGCTGCAACTAAATGTAATTATAACTAGAACTATAACTCTAACAGTATGTATGGCTATAAGTATAGCTATAGCGGTATAACTGTTTAACTATATAACTATAAATAACTGTATACTTATATAACTATCGAAATATAATTACAACTGTGTCTACAGCTATATCTATAGCTTTAGCTATAAGTGTATCCATATCTACTTCTACTACTACTACTACTACTACTACTACTACTACTACTACTACTACTACTACTACTACTACTACTAGCTGCTGCTGCTACTAGTACTACTACTACTACTACTACTACTACTACTACTACTACTACTACTACTACTACTACTACTACTCCTGCTGCTGCTGCTACTACTACTACTACTACGACTACTACTACGACTACTACTATTACTACTACAACTCCTACTGCTACTACTACTGTCACTACGGCTACTACTACTGCTACTCCTGCAGCTGCTGCTGCTACTACTACTACTCCTGCTGCTGCTGCTGCTGCTGTTGCTGCTACTACCACTACTACTACTACTACTACCACTACTACTACTACTACTACTACTACTACTACTACCACTACTACTACTACTACTACTACTACTACTACTACTACTACTACTACTACTACTACTAGTACTACTACTACTACTACTACTACTACTACTACTACTGCTACTACTACTACTACTACTACTATTACTACTACAACTCCTACTGCTACTACTACTGTCACTACGGCTACTACTACTGCTACTCCTGCAGCTGCTGCTGCTGCTACTACTACTACTACTACGACTACTACTATTACTACTACAACTCCTACTGCTACTACTACTGTCACTACGGCTACTACTACTGCTACTCCTGCAGCTGCTGCTACTGCCTGCGTGCCACCACCACTACCACCACCACCACCACCACCACCACCACCACCACTACCACCGCCGCTAACCGCTAGCGCTACCACTGCCACTACTACTGCGACTACTACTGCTGCTACTCCTGCAACTGCTGCTACTGCTTCTGCTGCTGAGAGTGATACTAGTACTGATACCGATGCTGCGACCACCGCTGCAGATGGCCCTATACCATCATATACCTCAGGCGGGAAGTTCAAGGATCATGAGAAGAACCCGCCATGTGCATTTCGAGGATTCGGAAGCGAGCTTGATGCCCGTGGAGAGCGACGGCAATGTTCCCACTCCCGGCGGCATTGCACAAGTAGGCCCTGCCTCTAGGAGTCAGGGACATGGTGCAGGGCTTAATAACATCGGATCATTAAGGCTCCTAATTGATTGCTGAAAGTCTTCCTGCGGGTTCCTTTTTATAAGTATAGGCCCAAAACCCTGTTCGAATTGTGATGGTTTCTGTGGTGGGGCCTCAGACCGTGCACCCGAAATTGGAGCTGACTGCATCTGGCCACGTGTTCAGTGTCAGAGTTTACGGTTCAGGGTTTAGGGGTTCAGGGGTTTAGGGGTTTAGGGTTTAGGGGTTCAGGGGTTTAGGGTTCAGGGTCTAGGTGTTTAGGGGTTGGGGTTTTGGGTTTCGGGATCAGGAGCTGGGCTCGGGGAGTCTGAAGGGCCCTCGGGTTCGATCTCCGGATCGACAAACCCACTATCGTCTCCACTGTAGTTCCTTTTTGGGGGTTACCTTTTGGGATCCTTAATATAATATATTTGTTAAACCAAAAAAGGAACTACAATGGAGACTATAGGTAAAGCTGAAGCACAGAAACCCCTACAGTAGACGCCCAAAAGCTGGAAACACCCAATCCCAGCACCATTTGGCCTTAACCTGGTTTCCAACTTTAAAGGGTTTACCTATAGTCTGCATTGTAGTTCCTGTTTTTTGGTTAACCTTGGTTAACCAAAAACTATGTTAAATGATCCCGAAAACTGGTTAACCAAAAAAGAACTACAATGGATACTATGGGTACAGTATCTCCACCGAGCCCGCAATCAAAAGCCACAGACCCTCAGCTGAAGTCTTGAAGCCCTAAACTAAGTCAAGCTTTGGTCGAAGTTTCAGGCGAGTGCACCGCCCTAAGGCTTTCTTCTGCTATATAAATAGCAGTCTACCCCTTGAGCATTGAGGGTCGTTGCGAGACTCTCTTTTGTTACTTAATTGGTTGAACATTATATGGTTCAATATATCTGAAGGCTGGCTCCCTGTTGAGAACTCCTGAACCTAAACCTCACAAGCCGGAACCTCTAAGCCTCAGCGCTAATTGTCAACCACTATACTAATCTAATCCTGGGTTTAGGGTTTAGGGTTTAGGGTGGTAATGGCGAAAGAAATTTCGTTGTAATTATTGAATGGACTGCAGGGTCAATCGACGTGTCCCAAAATCATGCATCAAGTCAAGGTAGCCTCGAAGTACATGCCCGGGGGGAGGGGAGGCCGACGCAGCATTGGGCAAAAGAAATGGATTCAATACTTCTAAGTAAGCAGTAGCCTTATGGAATATATCAGTATATCCACGCAAGCTGTAACCTAGTTACAGTTTTAGCAGTCACAGTTATACACACCGTCCGTGAGGCTTCCGTGATTCAGCATCTTTCCAAGTGTCGGGGGCCTTCAAACGGCGGAGCAGTGCCGACAGCGAGCTGCTGGGACGGAGATGGAGCGTGTTCTCGAATGAGGGTTGCTTCTGTCGTATAACAAGGATCCCACCAGACAGTTCCTAGTTTCTGATCGTCGCATAATAGTAATTACCGTAGATTCCAGCAAGTATATAGTAGTATAGTATACTACAGTTATAGTATATCGGTATATCATGTTATATACTATTTGTTTGGGCTTGTCTGAGCTACCCAGGCTCATGTGGTTGTTCCCGTTCCCCTTGTCTTGGGCGTTGTGTTGCGGTTTGTTGCATTTCTCCTCGAAATCATTCTGCTTGCTTTGCGTGATGACCGCAGCTACGATGCATCCTGCTGGTGACTGCGAGTGCCCTAGCTGCCTCTAAACCTTACGCCCTGGCCTCCCTCCGCTCTGCAGAGCTGTAGGTGGCGTACTCGTACGCTTGCTGAAATCTAGAACTTTCCGCAACATTAGAGCAAGTGATTGGGAGGAGATCGACGCATACGAGTATGCCAGGAAGCACCCTCGATCCCACCTCCCTGAAACAAGATCACGCTGGGAGAGGGCACACATCCGTCAGAGGACGGCCCCGGATGTTCGACAGTTGTGGTGGTGATGATGATGGTGATGTGTTTGAGGCCAGCACACCTGTAACAGGACTTCATTTCCACAGACCACCACCATCAGCACCACCGCCGCTGCCAGCACCAGCACCAGCGCCAGCGACAGCGACAGCGACGACGACGACGACGACGACGACAACAACAACAACAACAACCACAACAACAACAACAGCACCAGCGACAGTAGCATTACGGACAAGCGCCGGCATGGTTCTGTGTGTTTGAAGAGCATTGGGTCTGGTTCCAGAGCTTCGTGACTGCTTCATCCATGGACCAGAGCCCATATAATATTATAGGGGCCTCAATGACTACCAGTACTATTTTGGGGGTTCCTTTTCATAATTGTATAATGGTTCCCCAAACCCTATTCGAGTTACTAAGGCCTCTATGCCAACCTGGAGCGGAGGATTTGGAAGCCAAACTCTGCTGTGTCTTTGAAGGTTCTCGTTGTGGGTGATAAAGAGGCTTTACCGCACAGCCTTACCCAAAGTTCATAGGGTCCAAGTCATAGTCTAGTATATAACTTACTCTTGGGGCCCATTAAATAGCTACTAAGTACCTACACTAATGTTACATGCTACTTGGACCTTTTAAAGAAGTGTAGAGTTCCCATTGAACCTGTCAACCCCCACCCAGCCCCAGTCCAGCCCCGGATCTCGCGTATAATGTGTCGGGCCGAAGGTTAAGGGTGTAGGGTTGAGGGTTCAGGGTTTAGGGTTAAGGCTTTACCCAGAGTAACCAAGGTACATTAAGGTCCCTATATTAGATCTCACAGCTGATTGGGTACCCTTTTGGGACCTTAAGTGCCAGAAGGCTTGGCCTAAGCCCCAAACCCTCAGATCAACCCTGTAAAATCTCATAAAACCCAGTGAAAGCCTTGCAGGGAAACCAGATCGAGTCTAAAACTCCATCCAACCCGACAGAAACCCTACAATAAGAACCTTCTTCGAGTCCCAGGGTGTCGAGCTTCCACCCGCTTCGATGCTGGACAGTTCGAGCCAGGACCTTGCCTCGTGTTAGGAGTGGTGTGGGGAGGGCGGGGCTTGTGCACTTGGGGCTTACTTGGAAGGTCGGGGGACTTAGTAAGTATTTAATAAGTAGACTTATAAGTACCCTAAAGGGGACCCTAATTGGGGTTATGGTACTTATAAGTCCCTAAAATGACCAGTTACTGAGTCCCCCGACCCTCCAAGTAGGGTGTGGGCTTTACAGGGTGTAGGAGTCTCGCATTTCAGGGTTGAAGGACCAGGGCGGAGGTGTCAAACCCAGGTTTTCTGCGTTTCGCAATTCCGAACTGGGGGTCAGGTTTGGGTGTCAAAGACGGAGTCTGGATAAGCATAGCAGTATACTTTTTCAGTTCCTATATACATCAATCCTTGTTTTAGCCCCTGAAAGTACCCAAAGAGCCCTCGAGAGTGGTTTAGGGTTCGGGGTTTAGGGTTTGAGGTTTAGGGTTGAAGGTTTCTTTAAGGTTTCTGGTTTGTAGGTCTTTGGGTTTAGGTTTAGGCTTCAGTAGAACATCGGAGCAACCACCTGCAAGAGACACAATCGAGGGGCCTTGGTAGCCAAAATGGGTTTGGGTGCAATGACATGGTTAGTTCTCTTGAGCTCCGATGCCTATCGGCACATTCGAGCCCCCAATGCCCCGGACGTCCCAAAGTCCACTGTGCAGAGTCTCGTCTGACGCAAGCGGCACAAAGAATAGACCACCTTTGCATCTGTGCCGCACCTGTGCATGATCAGATTGGTCACTCCTTATTTTCTCACGAAGAATTCCGACTTCTATACCAAAGCAGATCCTAACGCAGTTCGACCCTAGGCTGGAGAGCTGACTTCATGTTGCATGACAGGGTTCATACTAGGGCCTATCAGGGATTATGATCAGGTTTATACTGGGGCTTTGAGGTTTCTGCCAGGTATAGGCTGTGGCCGGAAGAAGCCCCTCATCTCGGGGCGAGGGTGTAGAATGTAGGATTTTGCGTTGGGCCAGTGAAGGATCGACGATGTGAGATTTAGGTATCCGCCCTGAGCGACACATGGCCTCTTACTAGGAGAATTGGGATAGCCGGATAGCCTCCACTCAGTATCAGTATGTATCAGTTGAGTAATTGATATTTACAATATGAAGAAGCTAGGCCCTTAATCGCAGCCGTACCATAGTGGGGGGGGGGCGGGGGGGGCGTACCCAATGCGGTCTCATACTTGGGGAGTAGATGATGTTGTGCTACCTTGGCCCTTTTGTGTTAGGTTCCACGGCCGTAACCCAGGCATGCTCTCTATCATAGGACTTTAGGAACTTTTAGGTATCAAAAACCACAAATCGGAGCTACTTGGACCCTTAGGGTCTGCGTCTTCAAAGCCCATGGGGCCCTGCCCTCAACCCTATTTGGGATAGCGTGCTGCATGTCTCGGGTTGCGTCTCATCTTTCAAGTCATCTTCAACTTTGGAACACAAACCCTACTTGGAGGTTCATGATAGCCCATCTTAGGGGACTTAGAACCCCACGTATCGCTACCTGTGAACCTCCAAGTAGATCCTAAACCCATTCCTCGTACAAAATCCTAAACCCGGAAACATCCTGAACCCAAATTAGACACAAGACCATTGCTCATGGCAATCCTAAGCCCCAAGACTGATGAGTCCATCCTTCCCTAAAAACCCCAAACTCTAAAAGTTCTAAACCCTCGAACCGATTGAAACTCTCCCTACACCCTGAACCCTAAACAGTCTAAACCCGGGTTCCAGCTCTCCCTAAACCCTAACAGCCCTAAACCCTAAAACCGATTCCATCTTTCCCTAAACCCTAATCCCTAAAAGTTCTAAACCCTAAAGCCCATTACATCTTTCTGGCCCCTATTTAAAAGCCCTTGAAACGGTTGATGATATAACTCCTGCATTACCTCACGGACCCTAAGCTACGGGAATTATGGCATATTCCTTATCCCTAAGGGTCCATGTACCCATATAGAGTTAATATAGAGATACATGAGCCCCAAAGTAGCTAGACCGAAGGACACTCTCGGGCCGAAAGAAGTCGGTGAAGAGCTCGACGATCAACTCAGCCGCTTGGCGTTAGGGTTTCCCCAAGGGTCCAAAGGAACCAATTATTAGGTAGTCGGTTGTAGGATAGTACTTATGTAGGTTAGGATTTTTGAGAGTATGATAGGTACTTGGACCCTTTGGGTTTAGGGTTTAGGCATCTGTAAGTACAACTGGGTACGTAGTTCTCTAAATTAGGGTAGGGTCCTCTTTGGTAGTTTACAGAATTGCCCTAAGAATATAGGGCCATAATTCGGGGTCGAAATCATCCAGTCATCGTAGCTGTTTTTTTGCTCCCTTGGTTTAGGGCTTCGTTCGACTATTTTGGTGTTCCTTCAAGGGGGCTCTGAATTGTTGCCGAGGAGGTCCTTTAAGGATGACTTTTAACCCATAAATTCCCAGACCCCTGACGCACCGACTACATTCAAGCTTTCGGAATCCGTCAGTTAAGGGTTTATAGGGGAATGTCGAAATCTTTATTCAGACCCCCCCCCTTTATGCGGGGTATTTCGAAGTCTTCGAAATTCATATAGTGCTTCACAAAAATTGAAACCCTAAACAACCCTAAAGCCTAAAGCCCTAAAACCCTAAACCCTAAAACTCTAAACCCGAAAACCCTAAACCCTAAAACCCTAAACCTTAAAACCCTAAGACCCAAAAGCCATTACAGCTAATTGGTAGAGCTCTGCAGGATCCCTGGGAATATGGACCCCTGAGCAGCAAAGAGAACAGAAACCCTTTCTTCAAGAGCCTTTACTCGACACTTGGAGGTTCATGGGTAGTTACAAGTAGGGCTGTAAGTAGGGTAACTATAGGGGACTTACAAACCCACTTGTAGCTATCCATGAACGTCCAAGTAGGGTCCCTACGACAACTGCTATCGAGGGAGAGGGTGGTGGTATTGAGGGGTCTAGATTTAGGAGTGCACCTTCGTTTAATGTTTAGGGTGCTCAGACCACCATGTTGTGTTCTTGAAGCTTGCCTACCGTGCATGCAAGTGTGAAGAACCACAGGAGGATTGCGCACCTCAAAGACAGAATCCTAGCCCCTAAACCACCCAACATCCAAGTCCCAGATGCACTCTCCAATAGTCTTTCCTTTCTTGATTACCCGGTTTCTGTATTGTAGGATAAGACTTGTTCAGTCAAAAACAAGGACGAACTCCGACGACACATACAAAGCTTCATCAAACCTGACTGCAAAGGCTCAGAACCTGACCGACAGTGCCAAGAACAGCGCTATGAAGCAATCCACGGAGAAGGATCGATCCTTGCCGCGGGGGTTAAGGTGTGCGGTATTGGTTTATTGGTCAGGTGCGTTTGCTCTCCTGTCGGCGCTCGTGCGTATGTCTGTGTGTGTGTGTGTGTGTGCGCGAGTGTGCTGGTGTCAGCTTGGAACCCCAAGGGTCCAAGTACCTAATAATCATATACTCTCCCAAATATTAACCTACATAACTACTATCCGAAAATCGAGTACCTACCTATTGGGTCCTTTGGACCCTTGGGGGAAGCTTTGGGCTCTTCTCGAGCAGTGGACCGAAAAGCAACGGATTCAACTCTCTTAACTCTTGAACCATGCATGCCAGATCCCCAAAGCCGCGACGTACGAACCTAAACCCAAGAGCCCTGAGCCATAGAAGTTTCAGTGTTGGGGATATCTCAGAGGAGAGATAGATAGACAGATAGGTAGGTAGATGGATAGGTAGCGAAGCTCTAAACAACATGGTCATAAACAGAGCGGGAGCGAGCTCCGTGCTTCAAAAAAGCCCTTGATGGCCCCTGGACATCTGGGCCTCAATATGGTATACTTTAGCTCAGGCTATACTCTCATCGTACAACCCTAAACCCTAAACCCTAAACCCTAAACCCTAAACCGTTGCAATGTAGGAACCTGATTAAGAAACCTTACCTTGGGCATGTATTAGGGTTCCTGAAATGAATCGTACTAATTCGGGGTTTTAGGCCCAGGGTTTCTTAATCAGGTTCCTACAGTACATAACGTAATATACATATACATGTACTTACCCAAGGGTCCAAGTACCATTATACGGTACTTAGTAGGTACTATACCATTACTTGGACCCTTAGGGTTACATATATATATATATATATATATATACGTACACATCCATACAAGTGCATACTCTGCCGATAGCACCAAACACGACCCAGATTGGCTGCCTTGATTTCTTATCTTCAGGGTTCAACGGTTCAGAGGTTTATTGCTTGTTTTAGGCCTTAGCCGCGCCCCTGAGCAGGAGGTACATCCTTGCGGAAGGGCCTACTTGGGATATCCCAAATCCTATCGTTGAGGGGCTTTATATCGGGCATATCGGGTGGCGGGGGGGGTGGCGGGCGGGGGGAGAGCAGGTTCTGTTGTAAGCAAAAGTCAGTGGGTTCGGGGTTTTCCTTGAACCAGAAACCCTAAAGCCGTAAGCCTTACCCTCAAACCGAATGCCTAATTAATTAGGTCCTTTGCACCCTTAGGGTAAACCATAGGCATTCAAAGTGTGATGTGTCCTCCGACAGGAAGTCAGCAGTTGTCAAGGCCATTGGAGCTCTCTGGTGGGCAAACCCATGTCACCTGACTTCAACATGGCTAAGGGGTTAGGGTGTAAGATTGGTATGATTATGACTTCTGGGTTTCAGGGGTTTTCCAGTGTGTAAGACTCTAACCACGATTTAGGGCGCTGTGACCCGGGGCCGGGTTCTTGAAGAAGTTTGGGAAGCTTTCCTTTTTGGACGGATACCATAGGGGCCTTAACAATTCCCTGTACCATTTTGGGGGTTCCTGATTAAATTAAAACTAACCATAGTATAATGGGCCCCAAAACCCTATTCGAATGTTCGGCTTCTGAAATTTCGACGTGCTCTGTCTTCGGGGCCCTGAAAAGAAATTGGCCAAAGCACCCAGTAGTTATGTGTGTGAGCTCGGGCTAGTGGAAATGCAGCTTAGTACACCCTAATTAGATCCTAACCCTAAACCTCATACCAGCACCCCGCGAAGTACCCTTTAAAGGGCTCTAATCTTTCTCATTAAGAGGTAATTCGGAATTACAATAAGTTGGATACTGCTCCCATTCAGTAACAGTTGGATCATTTTCATAATTTAGATATAATAGGCCCTTAATAGTAGCCCCATTATAGACTGTTACTGTATGGGGGCAGTATCCAAAATAAAGGGTAGTTGGGGGGTCTAGGTAAACCCCAAGCCAAAAGCAAAGCCCTCAGGTATGGAATCTGCAACGAACATCCGAAAGCCCCTTAGTAGTAGCGTTTCCCAGAGACTCCAATAGGCCTTAATTAAGGAATAGACCTTAACTTATAGTAGGATCCCTAAGATGATTTAAGGCGAATTTTCCTTAATAAGGGCTATTCGAGTCTCTGGGTTTGCAGCCTTCGACCTTCTTTATTCTTTGGGTATTATAACCCTTATATAGGTCCTCAAAGGTTGAGCCTTCAGCTCGCCCCGGATACTGGACAAGTACTTGAGTCCGAAAGCGTTGTGGATGGTTTCAGGAAGTCGCGGGGCCTTTGTTTGGAATTTAAATATCTCTGAGTAGCAGGATCAGTAAGGAGCATCACGAAACAGGGCATCCCTGCCTATAGTGTCCATTGTAGTTCCTTTTTGTGGTTAACCAAAAACTATATTATGGGATCCCAGCCATAAACCTGGTTAACTGGTTAACCAAAGAAAGGAACTACAATGGAGACTATAGGTAAGTTATAATACGAACCCTACTATGTGATGTTTTGGGGGTCTTTCGAAGGCAAGGCTGGGTTCCCAGGGACCTAGGTGGTTTCTGAAGCTGCCATGGCCTTTCAAGCTGCGCGGGATGTCTCATCGGTGCCTGTCGGGGAGCAGCGCTCGGAAGATCTCGCGTCGGGAACGGCGAATCGTGAAGCGAGACGTAGAACGCTGCGAAACTGGATCCTGGAGCGCCTCTCCAATCTGATATGGTTTGCAGTGCTTTCTGCTGTTTCTAGGTGGGATTTTGGGACATTTTTTATTTTCCTTATTTGGGTTTATAAGGGACCCTATATATATATATATATATATATATATTTTTTTTTTTTTTCAGGGTGTTTAAAGGCCAACCCAGGTTTTCATGCCTCATATAGTCGGCCTGCTGTTGGTAACGGCGGTCTTCGTGGCCAAGTCTCTTGACATGATCACTGGCCAGAACCTTGGCCATGCGATCCAGGACCTCTTCTTCAACCACTTCGACGATGCGTGCGACCAGCCTCTAGGCCCACTGGCGGAGATCTTTTGGATTGTCATGGTGGTGAAACTCGGCTTTTTTCAAATCTGGAAATGGGCACAGGACTTCAACTGTGAATGCGAGTGTTTGAGCTCCTTCTTCTTCTATCTGATTCTGCCCCCGGCAGTCGCTTTCGAGCTGGTCTGGCCGATCTTGACTTTCCTTTGCCTCTGCATATCCTCGATGGAAAAGTGCTCCAAGGAACTGAAGTTGGCCGGCTGGCTGTTGCTGGTACCCTACTTCCTGCAAGTCTGTGGCATCTTTGCGTACATCCTTTGGCAATGTCTGAAGCCACTCCTATATCGCAAAGGAATCCCCGAAACTCCTAAACCCCTGAACCCTAAACCCCTAAACCCTAAACCCCTAAACCCCAACCCCTGCCTAAACCCTAAACCCCAACCCCTGTAAGCCCGCACAGGAATCATCCGGGACCCTGGCAACCTCACGAGGGAGTTCCAGCACATCAACTTTCGACCGGAGGACTTCGTAGAAGATCAGGGGGGCTACCCAGCGAGCTGCACCATCTGCTTGCTGGACTTCTCTGCGGAAGACGCTGACATCGTGGTGACGCCTTGCAGTGGGCAAAAGCACGTTTTTCACCGGGCTTGCCTTGCAACCTGGTTCCGCGTCGCCCAAACTTGTCCCATCTGCCGCGCAGCCCTTGGTGGGGCGGAGGCGGGGGTGCAGGAACGGCAGGCGCCGCTGCCGCAGACTGCTCTGGAACTGGCATCTATCGAGGCGTCGCAGCCCTGAGAAAGAAATATACTTCATAATATCAACTATAATATATATATATATATATATATGTTTATACATATAACCATACGACGTATATTCCCCATGTTTTTCCGGGGACCTCCACGTGCCAAAGTGCCACACTTATCTTTGGACCCAAAGGGTGCAGAGATCGTTGGACAAAGCTCAATACTATAGGGGCCTTAGTAATTCCCTATACTATTTCAGGGGTTCCTTATTATATTATATTTGTAGTATGATGGGCCCCAAAACCGTATTCTAATTATTAAGGCCCCTGTCTTACGGTAGAATGAGCTCGAAATTTCCCAGACCTTTACGAAACGAAGCTCCGACCCACGTTTCCTGCGTTTTCCACGAACTTCTGGAGCTTCCCCTAAACCTTAAAACCCTAATGAATTAGGGTTTAGGGTTTAGGGAACCCTAATCAAACAACCCTTGACACGAACCGGCAACTCGTTGCTCCCTCAGCTGCTTGGACTCGCTAAGGCCCACTGGAGTAGCGTACTAAGGTTATCTTATGCAAGTCTGTTGATATCTCTGTCTGCATCCTGGAAACCTAAGCCCTAAACCCTTGAACCCCATCATAGATCCCTTGCAGCTTTAGCAACCCTTTAAAGGAAACCCTCAAGCCCTAGTCAAAGCCCCAAGAACCCCGAAGGCTCATCTACTGTTGCTATTACTACCAGTATAGGGTTTCGGGTTTAGGGTTTAGGGTTTAGGGTTCAGGGTTTGGGGTTTAGGGTTTAGGGTTTAGGGTTCAGGGTTTAGGGTTTCGTGTTTAGGGTTCAGGGTTTAGGGTTTCGGGTTTAGGGTTTGGCAGTCCCTCGGTATTCGAGGCCTCCGGTCCGGCCGGACCTTACTGGGAGCGAGTGGAAAAGAGAAATGCTCAGGGGGGGGGATATGTGAATTTAGGGGTGTAGGATTTCTTAAAGCCGTCGTCTTAGCGACCGAGAATCTGATAATCTAAACTTGAAACCTTAAGCCCGCATAGAGTTTACGGCTTAATGACCAGGTGTAAGGATCTAGCCTCACGTTTGTGCTATTGGGAAGCTCGCACAAAAGCAGACTCAAGCGCTTGGGTTTAGGGCGGTTTAGGGGTTAGGGTTTGGTGGTGTTGATTTCGGAGTTGGTGTGTTCGTCAGGGCTTTGCGGGCTTAGGGCTTGAGAGTTTCTGCCTTTTAAGATTCCAGCCAAAGTCAAGGAAACCCACAACCCATAGCGTGTTACACTCAATTCCTAGCGTCCTTAACGACTTATGTACACATGGGTGGCTGGGTGCCCAAAAAGGGACCCTAATTTTGACAACTACCACATGCCTATATTATAGATACGATAGAGCGAGAGAGACAGAGACAGAGAGAGAGAGAGAGAGAGAGAGAGAGCGAGAGCGAGAGACAGAGCGAGTTGCTTGGTCATGGGTGCCACAAGAGGTACATGAGACTTAAGGAACAGTTACCGGCTACATGACAACTCTCCTCACATGTTTACGAAGCCCTAAACCCTAAACCCCTACACCTCAAAGCCCCTAAACCCCTAAACCCTAAACCCCTCAACCCCTAAACCTCCAAACCCTCAACCAAAAAAGGACCCCTAGATCATACACCCTTAATATAGCCGTGATATACCCATTATATAGCCCATCATAGGGTAGGGGTCCCCATTAAGGGTGGGCCAAACCCTCAACTTCGAAACCAAAAACCTTACAAACCCTAAACCCTCTCAGGAGTCCCACGGGGGGCTTCCGGAGCGACGCTCGGGCGGCATTTTCTCGGCGTTCCGGGGTGTTGGTTGATGGAAAGCCCCAGGGTTGAGGGTTTAGGGTTTAAGGGATTAGGGTTTCGGGTTTAAAGTTTAGGGGGTTAGGGTTTAGGGTTTAGGGGATTAGGGTTTAGGGGACGAGGGTTTAGGGGTTTAGGGTTTAGGCTTTAGTGCTCTTTGGGAGGTATGTGTTGTGCCTTTTTTATGGTAATAAAGGTCCAAGGGATTGATTGAAATATTAGGTTTACGATAGTGCTGAGGCCGCTTGAGTAGCCAGAGCTTGAATCACTCAGATATTTAGGTTTGTTGATGTATGTCTTAGAAGGGGCCCAACACACCCTGTAATAGTGACTGTAAGGATTATATCAGGGCCCTATCATATTCCTATTATACCACTATTACAGGGTGGGGGCCCCTTCTAATGTATGTCCGTCATATGTAGGTGAATTTTGCGTGTTAGGCAGCATGGGATGGTTTCTGAAGCCGCTTATCCTGAACCCGCAAATCTTGAATTCCAAGCCAATACTGTTGCAGCCTTCATCCGAGACGAGGAAGTCCTGAACCTCACGCTTAACGCCTAAATGATGCATCCCAACCGTCCTAAACCTTTAAATCCTGAAGCCTAAACGCCAGACCCTACCCAGACCCCCCCCCCACCTACCCTTTATTGTAGTCCCGAATTACCTCTTAGTGAGAAAGATTAGATCCCCAAAAAAGTTGGACTTGGGGGGTGCAGGTGAACGTCAACACAAAACCTTGGCTTCTTCACCCAAAGGGTCCAAGTAATACTAATAGTATACACTTTGGGGCCAAAATACCTACTAAGTACCTACTATAGTGCTACTTGGACCCTTTGGGTCAGTGGTTCAGATTTCTAACCCTTCGCTTCCCAGGACCCTACGCATAAGCCCCTGAGGCCCCACTGACAAGGTCCCTGCAAGCTTAGGAAATTTAAGGCATATACTTTAAACCATATTAGGGATCTCACTATAATTTAAGGTATCTTCCGAAATACGGCATATACTTTGAATCATATTAGGGATCTAACTATAGTTTAAGGTATCTTCCTAATATTAAGGGATGTTGGAGTCTCCGGGTCAGGCTTTCTAGGGCTTGAATTTAGCATACCCAAGGCCCCAAGGGTCCAAGTACCTAATACTCATATACTCTCCAAAACCCTAACTTACATAACTACTACCCTAAAACCGAATGCCTAATTCTTAGGTCCTGTGGACCCTTAGGGTTAGGGTAGCCCAGAGGGCACATACACAATACTATTATGTAATTCGGTCCCCCAAACCATTGTTAGGATGGTCTTTTGGGACCTAATACCATAAACGTAGTATATACATGGAGCCTCTAGGTAAGATACATTAAGTCAACAACCCTCCAACTATAAGCTGAAGACCTAAGATCCTAAACCTTAAACACAAATTTGTCAAACCCTAAAACGCTCTACGCCATAATCTCCGAAACCCTAAGACCTTACGTACTCCTTTCAAGAACACTCAAACGGCCCTAACTAAACCCCTAAAGAACACTCCTGGCAAGTCAGGTTCAAATCAAACCGCTCCTGTCCCTAAGCCACTAGGTTTGGGACTTCATTGGCCTGCTCCTGCTGATGAAGGAGCCGTCTTGCCCCTAAGGGTCCATATACTCGTGTAGTATATGCTTTGCGCATGGAGCCTTTAAAGGAACCCCTAAAGGAACCCTTAAAGGGTACATGGACCCTCCGAGTTCTATCAAGCGTGTAGGGTTGAGGGGTGTAGGGTTTTTAGGGGTGAGGGGTGTAGGGTTTGGAGTTTTAGGGTTCAGAGTTTCGCATTGACCTCAAATAACCCTACCGTAGCGATGCCAGAATCCAGGGCCGAGAAAGAGAAGCACGACTCACTTCAAAAGAGACTTTCCAGGTCCCAAGGACCTGAGAATTCGTCGGATAGAGCAAGTACGGGCAGAGGATCTCGTAGCTATGTGGGAGTTTCCGAAAATTATGGGACCCTAATATAGTACCCTCAATAGTAGGATCCATATTATAAGGACCCCAAACTTAGGTACCCCCCAATTTTCGGAAACCCCCATGTATGTATGCAGAGCTTCTTAGGTTCCTTGAGAGTTTTGTGCCTGTCTGTTTCGATGCCCACAAGGGTTACCATCAGGTTTACAGTCAGGTCAGGGCTCACCAGCACCCCTTTAATAAAGGGTTTAGGGTTTAGGGTTTAGGGCTCTAATCTTTCTCAGTAAGAGGTAAGTAGGGACTACAGTAAAGGGTAGTTGGGGGTCCTTTGGCGATTTCAGCAATTGTCAGTGTCCGAAAGGTGATCCTAATCGCGGTCCCCCTAAACCCGAAGCCCAAAAGCAAAGTGCTTACTCGGTCCCGCGGCCCTCCGCACGGAACCCTGATCAGCCGGTAGAAGCTTGGTTAAAACCCGCTTGCTTGGGATTTTAAGCAATTCTGAACATTCACTTTCTTTTGGTTATAGTGCTGAAAGGGGTAGTTGGTTTACAACGGTTTATGTTTATGTGCCTTGGCGGGCCCCTACTTAGATTCCATCGAAATAAAGCCTCCCTCACAACACCCGATGTAGCCATGGAAACCGTCAACTCTAAACTCCAAGCCTTCATTGGTTCTCCGGAGAGTCTTCAGCCGCTCGAAGAAGCCCCTCCCATGTACCACGAGCCCACAACTAGTGCCTAGAGTAGGCCCTTGTTCCCGTTTTAGTTTTCAGGTTCCCTTATCAACACCTTTAAACCAAAAAAAGGGCACCCTTTTTATTCCTGGGTTACTCTTCGGTCTAGTTATTAGGAGGGTTGTTAACACGATTATTCTTATTTGTAAACATCCACACAGACATACATGCAGGACGCGTGGTCTAGCCAGCAGCTAAACTCAGCGAGGCTGCCAAGTTCGGCCTCGGATCACCTCCATAGCTTGGGTATTGCCCCCACTCAGTAACAGTTGGATAATATTCATCATATATATATATATATAGGCCCTTAATAGTTAGTAGCCCTATTATAGACTCTTACTGTATGGAGGCCGTACCCAATCTAAGTGTCCATGTACCCATATTTATAGGTACATGAGCCCCAAAGTACCTATATAGGGACTACATCAAGGCCAATGTATATACTATATGAGTACATGGACCCTTAGGGATACACCAGGACACCGTTGACTTGCCTCTCTTGCTCGTCGACGTTCACCTGGGGGAGTTGATGCCTTTTTGGGGACTGCCTCTCGGGCTTTCTTGGGGGTAGTTATAAGGGTTCATCAACGGGTCCCTTTAAAGGGATCTATAGGGATCCTATGAGGATATAGGGTTTACTTGGAGGGTCGGGGGACTTCGTAAGTAGGTAGTAAGTAGACTTATAAGTACCCTAAGAGGGACCCTAATTGGGGTTACGGTACTTATAAGTCCTGAAACTAACCAGTTACCAAGTCCCCCGACCCTCCAAGTAGGGTCTACTTTACCTATAACCCATATTAGGGGACTGATAACCCTCGGGCTTCGCGCTTCATGGGATTTCTTGGGGTGCCTTGAAGAGGGCTTAGGGTTCTAGAGAGCTTTGGGCTTCGGAGGGCTTAGTATAGGCCTTGATAGGGACCTTCGGGGGGTATTACAGATTTCTGTATGGTTGTCGTAACTGTTTTTTCTTTCGGATCTGAAAGGGGTGTTGGGCTCAGGGCTTCAAATCCAGTCGATACTGGTTTCATCGCTATGGGTCCTAGGCACGCGGTCTGGATGATTGGGGATTGTGTGATTTGGGGTTTCGGAGTCAGGGCCTGGGTCTACCTGGTTATTTTTGGGACTTATAAGTACCATAACCCCAATTAGGGTCCCTTTTAGGGTATTTATAAGTCTACTTACTACCTACTTACGAAGTCCCCCGACCCTCCAAGTAGATGCTTGTGCAGGCTGCACCTGGCCATGCAAAACCCTAAACCCTAAACCGAGATTCTACGTGCATGCCGTATGGGCTTAGTGTAGGAGCTTGCATGCTTCGTCGAACCATTCCTCAGGGTTCTTGTGTTGTACTTCCACCCGTAATCTCCATTGTAGTTCCTCTTTTTGGGTAGCCAGTGTTATGGTTGGGATCCTATATATATATATATATATAATATAGTTTCTGGTGATTAACCAAAAAAGGAACTACAATGGAGACTATAGGCATTGTACAATAGTATACACCGAGACCTCATGCTGGATAGCGACTTCCAGTAGTATGTGCATGCCGCACAGGCTTACAGCAACTACCATAGCATTAATAATAAACAAGTTGAGATTAATAATAGTAGTAGTAATTGTAGTAGTGATAGTAATAGTAGTAGATAGATCGAAATTAGGCACTCTCGACCCTAGGCCCGAAACAAGCGGGGGTTCGGGGTGTCCCCTTGTAGCTCCAAGTCGAGGCTCACAAGCCCTGAAGCTTCTTCGCAACTGAAGCCTAAAGCCTAAGTACCCGACCTAAGCCCTTGAACCTTACAAGTTTCGGGTTTAGTAGGGAATGAAGGGTGCTTGGAGATTTGAAGCCACTAAATCTGGAGTTGGCATGTTGCGAACCTACTTGCCTGTAGCTTGTCTAATATACCTCGAATAAAGCCCCCTTCTAGTTGACAAAACATATAGGGGCCTAAATCATTACCAATACAATTCTGGGGGTTCCTTATTGCCATTAGAGTATAATGGGCTCCAAAGCCCTATTCTAATTATTTAGGCCCTCATATGCCTTATAGTATGTGTGTTAAATCTTGTGGACTTCTAGCACTTGGAGGGTCGGGGGACTTGGTAAGTAGGTAGTAAGTAGACTTGTAAGTACCCTAAAAGGGACCCTAATTGGGGTTATGGTACTTATAAGTCCCAAAAATAACCAGTTACTAAGTCCCCCGACCCTCCAAGCAGATGAAGATGCTGAAGAGCTCGGGCTCCTAGATTAGATGGTTTTTCTGATTGTGGTTCTAAGTCGGTGTAGGGTGTAGGGTTTAGGGTTTCAGGTTCATGGTGTCGGTGTTTCGGATTTTGCCGATTTCAGCTCAGAATGGCAAAGTATATAGGAATTTCGAAAACAGTGCACACAAGGGGTCTATACAGGGTAGATAAGGAACTTACAACACGTTTACTGTCTTTGAAATGGGCATTTGCCATCCGCGGCTAGTGCAAAACCTTCAACATTGAACCTCGGGTCGAGGTTTAAAACCCGACGGCGGTCATGCTCCAAACAAGGTACCAGGGATCGCTGGTAATTGACAGCCGCGGGAGTACTGACAAAAATTGATACTAAGGGACCTAAATAGTTACCAGTACTATTTTGGGGGTTCCTTACAATAAGTATACTATACTGGGCACCGAAACCTTAGTCTAACTAGTAAGGCCCCTATATCATAGTACCTAAGAAAGCCCTGAAAGTAACCCTTATAGACCCCTTTAAAGGAACCCTAGTCTAATTTTGAAGGCCCCGTATTACGTGTCTGCACCCTAGGCGGTGGATATACATGTGGGAGTTTTTGAAAATGGGAACCGCAATAAAGTACCCAACACAGTATGATCCTTATTGTAAGGACCCCCAAAAGGGTGAATTATACAAGTCCGCAAACCTGAGGCTGAGCACCAAAAGGGATATACATAAGGAATACACCGTATAGCTTACTAGGAATCCTAGTGTAATTTAAGGTATAGGGTTTAAGGTTTAGGTATATATATATATATATTCCTTGATTAAGGGATCTTGGAATCTCGAATCTCTGGGTCTGCACCCGAGGCTGAGCACAATGGGCACCTTCTACTGGTGCTGCGACATTTTCTTGGCTTTCAACACCGGCTACCTGCGAAGCTTCGCAAGGAATTACATCGGGGCCGAAATAATGGGAATAGGGTTCCTTTGAAGGGTCGATAGAGGGCTACTATGAGGGCTATTACCATACTACTCTGGGGTTATTTCTTATAGGTTATTTGAAGGGAACTACAGGTGCTTCGTAGGGAATGGGGGAATGGATGCCTATAGTAGCCCTTCTATAGTCCCCAATTGTAGTCCCCATAACCCGTTCCTCCATTCCCTGCCAAGCACCAAGGAGTTGCATCGGGGCCGAAATCTTATCCATACTATTTGTGTGTTCCACATGACAGAATATTGCGCGGAATTACCTCCCTGGTGCATAGTACGGAATGGGGGAATGGATCCCTATAGTAACCCCTATATAATGCCCAATTCTAGTCCCCATAGCTCATTCCCCCCATCCCCCTTATAAGCACCAGGAGTCACATCTGGGCCTAAATCATTAGCCGTACTATTTTGGTGTTCCTTGTTATAACTACAATAGAACATGCCCCCCCCAAAAAAAACGACTTCTAATTAAGGCTTCTATGTTGCAGCACACTCCTGCAAATTGGGACAAGGATTTGGGCTCCCCCAGTGCTTCACTAAACCCGCCTAAACCTTAAACACATGAAATTTACATAGGGAATGAGATCAGGGTTCAAGATTCATACCCCAGCTTTCTTGCGCTTGCTGCACACGTCGCGGCCGTGGGGTGTTTTTCGGTTCAGAGTTTAGGGTTTAGGGGTTTGGGTTTTTTGGGGCTTTAGGGGTCTAGGGTCTAGGCTGGGTTTAGGTTTTGGATTTATCGCTATAGTCAATATAGAAACACGACCGACGGGCCGACGGATGAACTACACATAAATCACATAACAAGCATGATCATAACGGTGGGTCAATGGTTGGGTTGAACTCGTGAATGTGGACTTGCAGCTGTACATGGAGAAGGGCCCCTTTGTCTAAGTCAAGTGGGCCCCCTGAATTTAGGATTCAAGCTGCATTTTCCTTGAGTAGAGCTCGCCGTCCTCAAGTACATCCCCGAACCACCAATTCCTAAGCCCTCAACCTCGAATCTGTATTGCATGCCTGAAGTTGCCCTCTGACTGTGTGCCCGTGGTAGGGTATCGTTTCCAGTGATGCGCTTTCAGTGCCCCAGATCCAAGTAGTTTATATACCTCCAATATCCCTTAATTTATTAAGGAATATACCTTAAATCATATTTGGGATCATACTATAATTTACGGCATATTCCTTAATTCTGAACCCTGAAGCTCGAATAGCCCTTAATTTTGGAATATACCTTAAGTTATATTTGGGGACCTACCATGATTTGCCGTACATTCCTTCAATAAAGGGCTCTCTGGGTAGGGTCATCTACTCTGAATCCTTTAGGGTTTAGGGTTTAGGGATCCTGAAGCTGCATACCCTGAGCCCTTTTTTAGGGTGACTTCAGTCCACATCCCCCAGACCCCTGAACCCCCAAAACCCTATGCAAACCATAAAGGACCATTTGTGCACATGCCGAGGTAAAGGTGAACTGGTCCTGGACCGGAGAAGCACCTTGACGGCCAAACTCGGAAGGTACCATCATGCTATGCATCAAAACTTCGGGTTTTGGTTCTCGGGCTGAACTTCAGGGTTTGAAGCTTTAGGGGATTAGGGTTTAGGGTTTGTAGTCCACATGTTGGAGTTTGAGGGGGGTTTAGTTGAGGGGAAGATTTGGTTGGTCCTCCTTGGTGTAAAGACAGAATTCTCCAAACGGTTCAGCAACCTCACCCCTCTCTGTCGGTTCTTCATTCGTGCGTCGTTGTGTCCTTCTATCCCTGCAGGTCCAGCGACCAGCATGGGGCTTCTGTTCTTGAGCCCTACTTGGAGGTTCATGGGTAGTTACAAGTAGGGTTGTAAGTATGGTAACTATACTTATAACCCAGATTGGGGGAGTCCAACACAACTTGGCCAATCAGCAGCACAGTTTCGTCGGGGCTGGGGGGTTCATGAAAAATTGGGTCCTTTGGCTCTGGGGTAAGCAGGTACCCTACGGCGCACTAGCACGCAGATTGCTGAACCAGTGGGCTTATCTTCGTACTCGTCCGTAACCATTGGTACCCCGACGCACTGCCTGCAACAAGTTTGTGTTGGCAAGGTTTCGGGTGTCTGCATGGCGATGCGCTATAATGTAATATTACTATTATTTATAGTGGTGGATCTAGCTAGCAAATGTTCATGTGTATGCCGCAGGCCTGCCTCCTCACAGGATATGTCACAGACTTCGCACATGCACATATGTTATATGTCAGCATGATAGTAGCACCTGCATCTGTACATATCCGCATGCACACACGTGCTTGCATTCCGAAATACTTGCATGCAGGATGCATGTTGGTATATACATTGCTTTGCACGTTCCACTATGACTTGTCATGCTTGTACAAATGCGGTTGGGCGCATATGCACCTGTAGTTACATGCGTGCATCTGTTCGTCCGTATGTATGTCCCGAGAGAGCTTCAGTAGAGACCGCTGCCACGATCAGCAGACCGCAGGCAAGAATCACCAACCGTCTCAGACGCTTGCTACAGGGGCCTAAGTCATTCCCAATACTATTTTGGATTCCTTATTATCATTATAGTAGAACAGGCTCCAAAGCCCCCTATTCTAATTTGCAGCTTCCCTATGTTACCATCCTGAACCCCCAAGCCCCGAAGTTCCGCCATCCCTGCAGCACTTTCAGGCATAGCGATGCATTATCTGCGCACATGGTTCCTCATCGACCTTTCTGCCTCTCCGACTGCTCGTGGACACTTCGGTGTATAGGCAGGGTTTAGACCCTAAACCCTAAATAGGGTCAGTACCCACAGACCCGCTTCTATTTAGTGTTAGTTCCATGTGCTCAAATCGTTTCTTTATATAACACTGATAAGCCTACCTAGGAATTCCTTTCAAACGCTACTGGAAGGAAGCCCTAAGAATCCCCAAACTCAAAACCGAATATAGGAACCCAAATTAAAGGATTGCTCTCGCCAATCCCTAGGCTTTGTTGACTGATGAAGATGTGCCAGAGAAGTTGCGGGATTCCTGAGATTGATTTACAGCAAGGCTTATAATCTCGAGATGTAAATCCTCGAACACTGCAAGGGTGATTTTGGTTTGAAGATGTTCAAGCGGGCTGTAGTGGTGAGGCTTTTGGGATGCTGGTTTGAAGGCTCTCCTAAGGAAAAGTTGAGCGTCCCAAATCCTGATGCCCAACCCTGACGCTTATAGCATGGGCCCCTTATTGATGCGCAAAACCTTCTTTATGAGTGTTATAATCGGGCTCCGCCGTCTTGAACCCAGGTCACCTTGGTGGATGTTGCACTAGAGTTTATCAGCGACTTATTCGACGAGTCTGCGTACACGGTCCAATTCTTCCGCTGCTTGGCGTGTGGTTAAAGCTTGGTTCTGCAGGACTGGATCGCGTCTAGCATTTCGAGCTTGGAGCGAGTGCCTTGACTTTAGGGTTTCAAGTTCGGGTTCAGGATTCAGGGCCCATCCCCTGTTGGGGATGATGCAGATTGCGGTTTCAAATCTCCGGGTTAACGTATGTAGACTCCACGCCTTGCGGCATTCCCAGTTCATGTTGCTGGTTTAGGGCCGGATGTTTATAGCGTTTAGTGTTGTTCAGTGCAGTCAATCAGCACTTTTGGGTAAAGCGTTGACCTGAAGACTTGCCTTGAGGTGTGATTCTCATAGCAAGCCATAACAACACCACATAGCCGTTGTCAACAAGCGTACTCCTTGCTGAACCGTGGCCGAACTTGCAGTATCTTGAAGTTTCGTCTCCCTCCATCGGCCTTCACATCTAGACTAATTGACTAGTTACCAGATTAAACTCGGCATTATGATACATTATGACAAGGAACCCTAACGAGCCTCGTTTAATTGTCGAGGCTCCTAAATACATGAAACGCCCTAAAGCCTGAACCAACGAACCCGAAACCCTAAACGCCTAAACCAAACTCTGAACCCTAAACCCCTGAACCCCAAACCTCTGAACCGTAAACCCCTGAACCCCAAACCCCTGAACCCTAAACCCCTGAACCCTAAACCCCCAAACCACTAAACCCGGAAGCCCTCAACCACTAAACCCGAAGCCCCCGATTATCATCGAAGGCTTCCTCCGGGTGCTCCGCATGCTGCGGCTTGGAAAGGTGCCGAGACCTAGGAAAGCTCGGGATTTTATTTTATCGGCTGTTCCTCACAGCAGGGTTTACCTATAGTCTCCGTTGTAGTTCCTTTCGGTGAACCAAAAGCTCCATTCTAGGATCCTAACCAGAAAGCTGGTTAACCAAAAAAGGAACTACAACGGAGAGTGTAGGTATCAAATACGCACTTACGGTTGAAAACTCACAACAAATAAGTTTAGTAATTGCTGCTCTTGCTACTGATGCTGCTTATCGCTGCTACGACTACAATGATTACTTATATGATGTTCACTTATTACTACTAAATCTAGTATTAGATTGCTGTTTTCCACTGGTACTAACTAGTACCACTGCGAACCCGCATATTATTCGAAGAACCCTAGGCCCCAACTCGTTTCTTTGTCATCCGTAGCGGGTTTCGCAAAATCCTTAGGTTTCTTGCTTAAGTGTTGAGAGAGCCGCAACTTAAAGGGTCCTGGCATCCATGAAGCCCTTAACCCTGAAGCCAACTAGTAGGACTTAGTAGGGTTTGCGCAATCAAGACGACACTTTGAAGTGTTTTTGGAACCGAACCCGCAATTCCCTGGATACTTGTACTATTGTGAAATAAAGCAAGAAGCCCAACCTGACAATCGTAAACCTCTTAAGATCTGATCGATGTAATCTGAGCCCTAACCCAACCATGAAATTCTTAATATGGGGGTTTGAAGAGTAGCAATACTTATTCAGCAGAAGCAGACCTCAAAACCCATGTAAACCATACATCCTGAACCTTCAAGCGCTTTGGAAGGTTGGACAAATCTCCGCCTTCTTCCAGGACAAGTTGGAATCCGAGGACCCCAATGGCGCGGTTTACCGGGTTCTTCTGATTGCACAGCCGCGGGGGTTTTAAACAAATCATCATGATGCGTGATGCTGGCAATTATGAATATGATCATTATTGTTGATATGGCTAGAAATTAGTAGCCACGATGTCTTCGCCGAATATTCTGCCGAGTTCAGCCGCGGATATTCCAAGTCCTGGGCCTTTGGATATCGGCTGGAGGTCTGTATCCTTGGTAATAGTCTTCCCCTTGCGGACCTGCAACATTTGTTATGGTACTATGCCCTCAAACCACATCCTAATGAATAGTCAGGGGCCAAAGAGGGCGCTTGCCACGAATGACCACGGCTCCTCTATTGCTTAGACTTGTGTTGAGGATCTGGGCCTGCAGTTGTGGGGGAGTGTGGTGCAGACCCTGAATGCGGGGATCCTTGTGAGACAGCTTAGCTCCATAATCGTTCCCCGAAGCACATCGTTTCTAGAAGCTCGAGATCTTGACTATAGGAAGCTGCATTGTAGGTTTCCTTGTTTTGAAAAGTCCGTTGCTTGAGCAGCATGCCTGTTCGTTGCACCATCTTACTTATGCTGTACTAGACTATGCTATGCAGTACTATACGATACTGCACTATACTAGGTGATGTGGCACTACCTTATACTATATTGCAAAGCTATCCCCGCAGCATACCCTCAAAGCTTTGTTCCAATCATCCGGGCCGCTGTATTGCCAGGTGGCCTTCATGGAGTTCAGCTTGTTCCTCGTGGTTCTGTGCATGATGTTGACAGAGCTGCCTTCCTGAAGTTAACCCAAGGTCGCGGGGCTTAGGGTCTTTAGGGTTTAGGATCTTTAGGGTTTAGGATCTTTAGGGTTTAGGATCTTTAGGGTTTAGGATCTTTAGGGTTTAGGATTTAGGGGGTTCCGCAGCAGTTCCGTTTCGGGGTCTCCTCATAGATATGAGGTGAGAAATCGGGAAAAGGGTACTCTTTCTGATTCAGCGGATACTGGAAAATCAGGGCGACTGGACGGCGTCCTTCGCCGAGAAGGAGATTTTAGATCCTAGATTACTGCTCCGTAGATAAGAGAACCTTTGCAGCAACTCTTTAAAGGACTGTTAAAGCAGCCCAAAGAAGGAACTTTGTTCTAATCTCTTTAGTAATTTTAGTAGCACTTTGAAAGTGCAGGAGCCGTCAAACATAACCTGTTTTATTCTTGTGGCCCCTATGTTATATTGATGCCTGGAGTTCCACTGCCGGTAGTTCCCCGTGGTTTCCAACCGAATCCCAAAGCCACACTTGCCCTACACCGATGAAGAATATTGGGATATCGTTCCCTCTTGGAAGTCAGGCTTCGAATCCAGGCTTCCACTTCGGCCGAGTAACTTCCAGTTTACCGTAAGTTCTGCTCACTCGATGACTCAACCCTATACCGAAAGACGAACAAACACAATAAACATGCCAACAATCCCACAAACAATTTAAAACCAACAACCAATCTAAACTAAGTCCCTAGCAACGCGCAAATTCCCCAACAGCAGTGGGCACATAGGAAATAGTGTGTCTTTACTCGTTTTCGCGCATGGCTTCTCTCATGTCCGAAGACCACGGAAGCAACTGAAGGCATGTTATTGCGTGTTTCTGGCTGGGCGTGGGCTCTCTGGAGGAAAACGGCCTCTTGCCGGCAAAGGCAGCCACTTTCAGAGTTGGGGTTTGGATTTACAAGCTTTAGGGATTCAAGGGTTTCGGATTTGTCAGGCGAGGATTTAGCATCTAGGATAGGGTTCCGTGGTGGTTTGGGAATGTATCTGCCCTGTACTCCTTGAGTCAGCAAATTCCTTTTCGTGAGCCCATGTTTGTTGGGTGTTCTTCTCTTCATGCAAAGCTCCAAGACGCTTGCAGCCCTAACCCCAAAATTCCATCCAACCCTAAACTACTATTTGCTTAAGAACCCCAAAAAAATAAAAAATATATTCCTTATAGGGATAATATAGGGATTATATTTTTTTATTTTTTGGGGGTTCTTAAGCAAATAGTAGTAAAGCAATAGCCTACGCAAGCCCTGCAAGCCTCTACGCCGAAGGCTAAAGCCCTAGACCTACACCAACCCCCGAAGCCTCCGATTCTTTCTTTACTTTCCTCTCGCTCCAAGTTACAAATCGCACCTACTTGGGAGTCTAAAGTCACGGTTTAGGGTTTGGGGTTTAGGGTTTGTTACAAATAGTACCTACTTTGGAGTCTAAAGTCTAAACATAGTAGCTACTTTGGGCTGTTTCGAGTCCCAGGGTTTTTGTTTGGTGAACCTGAAGCCTAAAACCCTCTCAAGGAGAGTCCTGGAAGTCCAGAGCATCGCTGAGCGACAGCTCCATCATGATACAGCCGCCTTGCATGGTGCAAATCTGAGGTTCAGGTTGGATACTGCCTCCACTCAGTAGCAGTTGGAGAATATTCATAGTATAGATATATTACGCCCTTAATAGTAGCCCTATTATAGACTGTTAGTGTATGGGGGCAGTATCCAAGGTTAAGGGTTCAGGGCTTTAGATGGTGATTAAACAGTTAGGGCTTAGGGCGGCGAAAGGATTCAAGAGAGAGGGTCTAGAGTTCAGTCATGGCTTATCTTGTATTCTTGGTGGTGGTTTAGGTTCGGTTCACAAGGAGCTTCGCAAGATGGATGTCCGGTTCGCTTTGGTTTATCTTCCAAGAGCGCACCCTAAACCCTAAACTCTCTAAACCACCCAAAGCCCTTAACCGTTCTAGGGAGGGTCTTAGGGTTGATTTAATGTAGGGCTCTTGATGATATGTTCTGTTATATTATGTGAGATGAGTTCATACTATGCTCTTTTTATGTTGTATTATATATGATTATATTGTATTATAGTGTAGTATATCTGGCGGTGTTCTAAGGTGCCGGTTACAGTAGGTATTTGGGAAACCCCAGACCCCTCTTTCTTCGGGGTGTAATACCAAGCCCACTGAAACCCTCGTGAACTAACATGCAATCTCCCCCCAAAATAGGGTTTGTGGTAGGTTTAAAGTTCGGATTTCTGGCTGGTTGCCCAGGTATCTTGGCAGCCTGCGATGGTCGCTGGCACAGCTGGGCATTGGTTCTACGAACATCGAAGCGGCGACCACTGCAGAGGCGATTTCTGCCTGGATTGTTTGGGTTCAGGGTTGAGGGTGTGCTCTAGGGGCCTGCATCACTGCCAATACATACTATGCCTGGGGCCAGCAGGGCTCCTGGTAATATACTCGACTACTACACACTACCCCGATTAAGGCTGCTGCAGTAGTTGACAGCTGCTCCCGTTTCGGTCGAGGGCGGGTTTTTGGGTTGGAGGACAGAGGAACACCTAAGCCCTAAACCCTAACCGACTTTAATTTCAAGGAATATGCGCGCATGAGCTGATGTATTTTTTTTTTGGGGGGGGAGGAGGGGCGGGGGTTCTGCTGGTCTTTAATCTTAGGGTGTGAGGATTCTGATCCCGGCTTGATTTAACAGTCTTTGGGTGCTCAATTGAGGCTGGGGGTCTTGATCGGTATCAAGTTAGGTAATAGTTTTTCTGTATATGACTATTATGCTCATGGACCCCGAGGATAAGAGCCCGACAAGCCAGACCAGCTTGTAGCAACTTTGAAGGTTCTGCTCCTGGGTAGCGTAGGGGTTCGGCAGCAGCCCTGAGGTTCCAAGTGACCCAATAGTTTGGTACTTGGGTTTCGTATACTAGTTTTAGTTTTGAGGGAAAGTATATGATCGTTAGGTATGTGGACCCTTAGGATAGGGTTCGAAGGTTATAGGGCGGCCTGCCTCGAGGGATACTACACGGTCTTCGCCTGCTTCGTGTCGCTGATCATCTTTTCAACGGCTCTTCGGCTGGGAGGACGAAGCCAACCCTAATCGCAGCTCCCGGAACCCTCGTTTAGGGTTTTAGGGTTTAGGGGTCGTTCAGGGACTATAGATGTTGGGACCCTTCTCATCAAGGACTAAGGTCGTCAATACTTGGAGGTTCATGGCTAGTTATCAGTGGCGTTATACGTCCCCTAATATGGGTCATAACCATGGCTACCCTACTTATGACCCCAGTACTACCTACCCATGAACCTCCGAGTAACTGTGCGGCGTAGAACGGCGATCACCAAGTCCTTGCACAATTCAGCAGTAACACACCTCTACCCAAAAAAAGCCAGTTCGACAAGGCCTGTACATTACTGCGAAGCGCTTCCGAGATTCTACCCTAAACACTAAGCCCCAAAAGCCCAATGCCTTAGCCCCCAAGCCCTTGTATGGCCCTAAACTCGTATAGGTACCCTTATAATGGAAATCATCCCCCGAATTAGCGCGTGAAGGATCCTGCGTGCCTTAACTTAACGGTATGAACACCCGATCACCGTACATGGGACATTGCCTGGACGGTATACTCCCCTAGCGAATAAGGCTAACTGGACAGCATTGCCATCCTAATCCCAGGCACCTACTTTCTTGGTGCTGTGCACCTTCAGGGTAACTGATTCGAGGTGCAGTGAAAGATGTCGGGATACTCAGCCGGGAGTGATGTCTAACAGCGTTTTTTTGTTTATTCTCGCTCTGCATCAGACTCTGCATACTCTAAGCCGAAACTGCCTTACCACCCCCCTCCTGCCCCGCAAACTTTAATTGCAAAGTGCAGGTTTGGGGGTGGTCAGTGTCCAGGGTTACGGTTTGGATTCTGAGCTGGGGTTCCCCAGCAGAGTTATAGTTCCATATACACACCTCAAAGTCCTTGTCTGGGCTCTTGTTAAGTTACCATAGTAAGAGGACCGCAGTATTTTACTATGAGTTACTAGGGCAACTTAAGCTATCGAATATCCCCTACAGGAACCCAGTTGTTTTCATTTTGGGGGGAATCGAGAATCAGAGGTTTCGGTAAGTCTTTGTTTGGTTGCGGTCGTGGGGATGGTCTAGGGCTTTTAGGGTTTAGGGTTTAGGGGTTTAGGGGTTCAGGGGTTTAGAGGTTTAGGGTTTAGGGTTCAGGGGTTTAGAGGTTTAGGGTTTAGGGGTTCAGGGGTTTAGGGGTTTAGGGTTTAGGGGTTCCAGTGGCGTCTATCTTACGGCACCTCGTCCAACGCAAACTCTCCAACGAAGAGTCAAATCCTCAGCCCTGAGCATCGTCCTTTTCGCCTACACTTCTATAAGCCGAAAACCCCTTGCTGCTTTAGGGGATAGGGGATACCGGATCCCCCAAAACACCTGCTTGTTTTGAGAACTTGTATGGGGACATCATCGCAAAGAGCCACTGAATCCAGACATGTGCAGGGTCAGGGAGGGCTTAGGCAATCCATGGCCCCCAGACTTTGTGCTCGATACCTAGGCAAGCATTCAACCCAAACCCTAAACGCTACCCCCTAAACCCTAAACCCTCAAACAATGAACCCCTAAGCCCTTAAACCCTAAACCCCGAAGGTTATCAGCTCCATGACGTCGCTCGTTAGCGCTTTGCATGGGAGCCGAATGGAGGCAGCCCTGCGTTGGCTCGTGGGGGGTTTACTTGGAGGTTCATGGGTAGTTATAAGTGGGGTTACCAGTACCGTAATATGGGTTTTAAGTATAGTTACCCTACCTATAACCTTACTTGTAGCTACCCATGAACCTCCAAGTAGGGTGTTGGTTTTGACTGAGCCCGAAACCATACTCATAAAGGCTCCAAAATAATAGCCCAAATGCCTTTAACCCTAGATGGGAGCTTCCGGAAATACGGGACCCTAATGTAGAACCCTAATGAGTAGGATCCTCATTATGAGGACCCCAAATGAGGGTACCCCTAATTTTCGGAAACTACTAAATAAGTGTTGTCCTCGTTAAAAGCCGTATAGCACAGAGTCGACAGCTCTGTGAGGCTTCTAGTCAAGGACTAGTGGCCATGGGGAAGTGGGGCCCGGGTGCCCAGAGACACGAACATATTCCTGAATATTGGGATATTGAGGGTGCAGGGGTTTGGTCCAAGCCTTCCTCGCATGTCCGCAGCCTCAGAATCCCCTGAACCCAACAAGCTTAAATTGCCCTTCCTAAACCCTCAACCCGAAAGTAGCTTCTAGGCAAGCGCTTCCGCACCCGTCAGGAAATGGCTCAGTTCGGAATCTTGCGGCGGTTCTTGAGACAGAGCCTCTGACAGCATGCAGGGGCCATACTTCGCCGGTATTTCGGCTTTGGGATTCAGTTTTCACATGTCGGCCGTGTCCTCGTAGCTCGACTCATATCAGGTTGCCTCAGTTCTTATTAATACTCAAGGTGACAGGCGCCCCCCCAATCAAATTTCTTTTGCACACTTGCAAGCCCGTGCAAAACTTGAAGCTCGTGGTCAACCCTGCAGCAGCCCCAAAAATGTCCAGCCCAGCATCCCACACGCCCCAAACTCAAAAAAAACAAGAAGCAACATCAAAGTAAACCCTACCCCTCATTGCCACCACCCTAAACCCTAAACCCTATACCCCCCCCGAAATACCAGAAAGCCAAGGAACAACATCAAAGTGGATTTGGGCCAGCGGATCCTGCGGTTCTTGGAGTTTAGGCGGGATCATGGATGTTGGCGTAAGGAAGTCACGATAGTGAACCCTATAGAGATAGGTTTCTCAGGGTTCATGTAGAGTTTAGGAATCGAGAGTTTAGGACTCATATGATAAGGTTTGTGGGTTGGGAGCTGGGTGCATTTTCGCTTTTGTTTTTCTGTCTGGATGTGAGGATTCTGGGGCTTTCTGGCAAAACATGCGTTGCCGGGATTTAAGCCTCAAAGGTTTGTTCCATGCAGCTTTCTTACACTGAATCAATGAATTGGAGTGTGTTTCGTTTCCTTTCGGGATGTTTTATAATGTGTGTGTATATACATATATATATATATGTATATATGTATGTATGCCATTTATAGTTCTACTTGTATAGGGGCCTGGGGTTTTGCAGATGGCCTTTCCAAGGGCCCCGTTTGCTTATGTTTCTGCATAACTCCCAAACCCGAGACTCAAAGAGGCGCCTGCTCAAAAAGAAGCTTCAGGGGATGGGATCCAGAGACTCCAAGATCCCCTTAATTAAGGAATACCTAGGGTTCCCTAAAAGGGATCTATAGGGTTTAGGGTTTAGGGGATTCTAAGATCCCCTGAATTACGGAATATACCTTCAGATAAAGTAGGATCCCTACTATGGTTTAAGGTCTGTTCTTTAACTAAGGCGTATTGGAGTCTCTGGGTGCAAGGGATGAGCGTGAGAGAGGGCTAAGTCTGTGGCCCTGAGACGAGCAGTAAGAGCCTGCATGGGCTGTACTGGCAACGTTTAGGGGTTTAGTGTATAGGGTTTCGGGTGTAGGGCACCGGGAATGCAGTCGTGATTAGCAGAGCATAGGACCAAAACACGCGTAACATGCATGGTCAACCTGGGTCGGGGCATTTGGTGCTGCCAGCTAGCAAACAATCTCGTCGCCAATGCAAACACCGAACCGTACATTGGCCAGGTACCATGAACGGGCATCGACCGCCAGTGCCGTGCATACACCTCTCGTGCTGGTATCTGGCCAAAATATCTGCAATCGGTAGCATCATAGCTTGCGGGTTGTTTTCCACGATGTGCGGTCAGGTAGGGATGAGGGCTTTGAGGTGTTTCTTCCTGGTTAAGGATTTTGAATTTCGGGATCGCGACCTGCTTAAAGGAACCGTGAGAGGAACCCTGAAAAAATCCCAAAAGAGCCGGTAAAGCAACCCTAAACCCCTAAACTTGCATCTTATATGATGGTACCTAGTGAGCAGTAATTCATGAAGTTTGCCCTTGTAGGTATATTACCTACTGGTAACATCATTAGTTCTTTGGCATGCCTTCTCCTGCCTGAGCTCAACTGTCGACTCCTTGTCCTGGAACCCCCCGAAAGCCAAGGCCTTGTACCCTCAGCCGCAACCCGAGTTTCCGAAAAATAGGGGGACCCTAATATAGAACCCTAAATAGTAGGATCCTTATTATAAGGACTCCCAAAAAAGGTACCCCTAGTTGTCGGAAACTCCCAAATCGTAATTGAACCCGAGCCCTCTGGCTTCAGCCCCATACTTTTTGGGGAGGTATCATACCTATCAGCACCGGGTCAAAATCTACTTAGAGAAACCTTGGGAAGAAGCCGAAAAGGACTATGAAAGTACCCCTGAAAGGAACCCTAAATCCCTACGCTTACTGTTTGGTACTTGGAGGTTCATGGGTAGTTCTAAGTGGGGTGATATTATAAGTCTCCGAATATGGTTTATACGTATAGTTACCCTACTTACACTACCCATGAACCTCCAAGTAGGGGCTGCAGCACACCCCTGAATGCTAAACCCCGTGCCGTGAAGCCCTCCAGTCTGAGCCACAAGCATGGGGTTTTGGGTGTTTTACTTAAAGGATCATGGGACTTAGTAACTAGGGTGATAATTAGGGTAGCTATACTTATAACCCCAATTAAGGTACTTGTAACCTTACTTACTAAGTCCCATGATCCTCCAAGTAGGGCCTTACCTCTAGTCTCCATTGTAGTTCGTTTCTTTGCTTAACCAAAGATCCTATAAGGAAACCACAAAAAAGAACTACAATGGAGACTATAAGTAGGGTTTTGTTTAGGGTTTCGGCATAGGGTTTAAGGTCCTGAACTCTTCAGGCAATGCTGCCTGCAGCGCTGAATGCAGAGCTGCAGTGACTCGGCCGAAAATCATCATGGGAAGCGCAGGGTGGCGCTATACAAACTCGCAAGGCCAGGGTACACTCCACTATATGTAGTCTGCTGGAACTTTCAGGGCATACTGTTTTGCATTACATCCAGTATTCAGAGCCACATATTATATAGAACTTAAAGGAGGGCCTGGTAGCTAGGTTGCAGCTAGATCGTTTGTCAGAGCGACTAAGAGCCCTTGGCACGGACGGATATGTTCACAGGTGTTCGTAGGATCCCTGGAAGCCTCTCGGCAGCCACTTACGCACGAGTTTCCTCGGTTCCTTTCCTAGGCTTTGGCAAGGGATAACACCGATTTGTTATAGATTGTGATACGTGTGTTCCAGGCCTTTGCAGCAAAGCAGATCGTTAGGGACTTCTCGTAGTATTCACAGGCCTTCACGTAACTTAGGGGCCTTAAACAATTACCAAAACTGTGGCACTATTTCGGGGGTTCTCCATTATGATTATCGTATACTATTCCCCAAAACCCGTTCTAATTATTGGTTATTAAGGCCCTATATTGCAGAAGCTTGAGTATAGTCAAGATCATAGGCATACTGGATCACAGTCTAATTGCTAAGACCCCACATTAAGTTTGCAGCTTCAGCGGAACTTTGCTTGTTGGATAGTTTCGGTCTTGGGGTCGTGCTAGTTTCGTCCCACCACGATGCCCAGCACACCTTTGTTACTTATAGGACAGCGCCGCCATCCTGAAGCCGGAGTGACCCTATCCAAAGGCCCCAAAGTAGTTCCTTATTGGGGTTCATATTTAGAATTCTAAAAGGTAACCCCAAAAAGGAACTACTTTGGGGCCTTTGGGTAACCCTAAACCACCGTAAACCCCTGATGCCCTGAACCTCCCAATTCCCAAGCAGTCCTACATTGCTGAGGTTTGCGCGCTACCGCGACCATCTCATGAAGCTCGCTTTTCTGGAGCGCCTCGATTGGAACTTGGTCACTCAGGCCGTTCCTCGCGATACCCTTTCTCCTCGTCCCTTTTTCTGCGCAGGCAGCTGGTAAATGGCGATGACGAGGACTCCATATCGACGCCTGACAGCAGCCATCTATATGGTTTATGGCCTAAACCCCGAGACCAAAGCTCTAGACTCTAGCTACGTGGACAAAACCGGCAAATGGCCAGCTTTTGCGCCGGCCCACCAAACTTTTAGTGCCCGACACTCAGTCTAGTATATGGACCCTAGAATGTAGATTGTAACTTAAACCGAGATGCCGAGGTGCAGTTCCAGTCGAGAAATCTTTAAACTGAAAAGATCCCATAGAGAGGGTGCGCGGGCATCGCAAATAGGGCATCGGCAGCCCCCTGGCTTTCGCATAGCTTTGTGAATACAGCACGATGAGGGGGTCTGCTACGTGTTGCTTTGCGTTCCATAGGTGTTTACCTCAAGGATCAGGGGGCTTGGTAGCTTAAATGGGTTATAAGCCAGCTAATCATGATTGTATCTGCTTCTAAACCATCAAGGTGCTGGTGACCCTACTTTTTGCCAAGCCCCCTGAACCTCTTTAAGTAGAGTTTGCTACACACCAGTAAGCCGACTCTCGACTTGACCTGACCTGCTGAATTCAGAAACTAGGACCTAGAGTAGGCTCTTATTCCCTTTCCTTTTGCCTTCCGGTTCCCTTTTTCGCCCCTTTACCCAGAAAGGGCACCCTCTTTATTCCTAGGTTACTCTTGGGTCTAGGAAATCTCAACTCTCGAAGCCCGAAGCCGTTTAGTGTCCTCTAGATTCTCTGCATCAGTATACCGCGATATCCCCCCCTCGAACTCTTTCTGATACTATTACCTGAACCCCAAAAGTAGGCAAAATAACAGCCCAAAGCCTATAAGGGGCATTAATTCTACATACTTTGGGGGTTCAGGTAAACACCCCGTACCAGGGTTCCGGGCTCAAGTGGCTGAAGGTGACCAGGGCACTCTCCAGAACCGCGAACTCCATTGCACGGATTTGAGTTTGCTTAAAGGGGTCAGGGACGTAAGGTAAGTGTCGTAATATCTGAGTATCGACTCTGGGTACTAGTTGCAATTCCCAAAACTTCTGAGTAGGATTTAGAAGGTAGATCTCGCTAAGCCAACGCAAAACTTACAAACCTAAGCCCCAAAAGCCACAAGCAAAGCCCTAGGATGCCCAATCCGCGGATGAGCGCGCATCACGAGAAGATCATGCACAAGATGGCGGTTCAAGCCATAGGTCCGTTTAGGGGTCCGTCTTGCTGCACTCGAACTGGAGTGGACTTTCGGCTTTGGGGTTTGGGCTTTGATGCGGCCTGATTACGACGGATTTTCATTGGCTCAGCCGGTTCTAGAGATGTGTAGGCAATTTTCAGGGAGCTTAATGACGCAAGGAAGCTTACACCAGCTTCCCTGGCTTAGAGTTTCGGTTGTATGGGTCCGAAATATGCAGGCAGTTCTCCGAAGCACACTTACGTTTAGCATCTAATGATTGGACCTCAATCTAGGTAATATGTCTCCTTGACGGTCGTTGATACAAGCATATCATAAGATACCCATAGATACCCCTAAGCGTATAAAGATTAGTGCGGCCTACATTCACACAAGCATCTGACAACGACGTAGCTTGACCGATCGTTTTCTCGTTCTGCGTCTTTAGAGAGGAGAAGCGTTTGAGGTTTCGGGATCCTTGATACGGGTTGCCTAGAACAAGCAAGGTACCTCAACAAAATGGGTTTACAGTCGTTGAAGGGTAAACAGGTTGATTCAGCTGGAGCAGAGTTGCAAGCAAAGTCCGCCTGCATTCAGTGCTTCTGCAGGAATCCTGGACACGGCCGAGAGCGACACGGTGTTCTACGCTGGCCAGGTTCCCTTCAGGGTTGTCCTACGCCCGAAAGACATGTTACCATTCTAAAGCGTTAGACCAGAAAGTCTAGGAGTCTACTTGGAGGGTCGGGGGACTGAGTAAGTAGGTAGTAAGTAGACTTATAAGTACCCTAAAAGGGACCCTAATTGGCGTTATGGTACTTATAAGTCCCTAAAATAACCAGCTACTAAGTCCCCCGACCCTCCAAGTAGGCCCTAATCCCTGCACCTTAAAATCCTGAAGACTCAAACCTCTGAACCCTAAACCCCCTACACAGAGGAGACTCAGTGGGAGGGTTGGGTCTAACATGTGTAAAAAAACCCTACACCCCCCAACCCTGGCCTAAAAGCCCGGAGGATGCCGAGCACGCCGTCTTCAGTCTGCTTGGTACTTTCCGACCCTCGGCCGGTAAAAAAAGGGGCCTTAACAGTTTCAAGGGGGTTTTGGGGCCCAGTATGCTATATATATATATATATATATATATATCTCTCTCTCTCTCTCTCTCTCTCTCTCTCTCTCTCTCTCTCTCAAGGATTTGAATGGGTTTTGGGGCCCAGTATGCTATATTTATAGTTATAATAAGGAATAGTATTGAGGCCTCTAGCTTATGCACTTTGAAGTTTATGGGTAACTATAACATGCCCTCCCCGATCCGACCCGATCGATTCCGATTCATCCGATTCGATTCTCAACGATCTCTTGCGATTTTCCTATCTGTGGGGTTTGATCCTTGTGTCACGGGGCTACCTGGAGATCCAACAACTAACCGTTTTAAGGGCTCGACCCTCTAATTACAGGGTCATAACCCAAGCTTTGGAGGGCTTGGGGTCACATGTAAGAGTATGGTCTTACAGTAGAAGCCAGAAAGTTGGAATATCATTATCGTAACCCCTTTAAGGTAAATTATAGGGGATCCTACCATTAATCCATATTCCAACTTTCTGGAGTTCCCTTTAGACCCTCAACCCTAAACCCGGCCCTAAGGGCTCCATCAGTCCCATCTCACTCTTCTGGGTTCTGGAGTAGCATACTTGAACACTTCTTGGGGTAGCTTTTTTCCTTAAGGGATCATCATGAAAGACAATTCTATACTTTTTTGGGGTAGATTTTTCCTCTTCAGGAACCAGAATGTAATACAAGCCTATACTTTTTTCCGTGGTTACTTCAAAGTCCAGTCTTCCCAGCAAGCAGGGATGGGAGTGGAGGGCATGGGCAGGGCGGCAAGGGGAGGCAGCACGGATTGCGGAAACGCACATTCCACCCTAGCCCCTCCAGCCTCCAGCGTTTGCGTCCTGAACACACTAACTGGGCAGACCCTCTGTAGCTTAGTGGCCGGACATTCGTCTTGGTCAGCCCTATGTGGAAGGCAGTGGGCTCACCTCCCGCCGGTGTCGTCTGCTCGAGGCGTAATTACGATGTCAGTGGGTTAGACACTACTGCCGAAATGCAACGCCCCGTGGGCAAAGCACAAAACAGAAATAGTGTCAGGTGCTATTGCGGAACTGGAGAACCCCCCCGAACCGCAGAAGCGAATTAGTGTCAGGCACTACTGCCGAAATGCAAACCCCCGGCTCGAGGTTTGGTTGGGTTTATGTTCTGCAAGATGCCATGTTGCTCTGACACTTTTGAGCTAGAGTCTCGGGTGCAATTCCGATACCAGTCCTTTCCATCCGATTCCCGATCTAGTTGTGAGGTCGACTGCCCATGCATAGCAATCCACAAAAAACCTACCTGATTAGGGTTCCTTATTGTGATTTCCGAACCATTTATTAATCCTGAAAATGCAGGTTTCGCAGGGTCCAGGTGGGGCTTAGGGTTTGGTTGTTCCTGAAGTTCAGGCTACCAACAGGGGAATTTGGCGGCCGTCAATGTCGAGCATGGGAAGTGGCTGTCAGAGGCTTGCCTCTGGACGGTCTGGTGTTGCTTGGCTCAGCCCTAAACCCTAAACCCCTAAACCCTATATAAACCCTCAGCCCTGAACCCTAAACCCTTAAACCCTATATAAACCCTAAACCCGTGGTTCAGGGTTCAGGGTTTCGGGTTTACCTGAACCCAGGGTTCAGAGTTTGGGGTTTGCAGTGTAGAGTTGGGGATTTATCGTTTGGGACTAGGAGTTCAGGCGGGTGGAGTCTGACATGTTTGTCTATATGTTACACCCCATGCTAGTGCTCTAATGCCTCAGGCTTTCAGGCTTTTGGTATTCAAAACCATAGTATGTACAGCTTTTGGGCTATTTTGAACCTCAGGTTCAGGGCAACCCGGAATAAACATACCCTTCAAAGGGCATATGTAAGGAAGTCATGATAAGGAACCCCTGAAGCTTTGTTTCATAGGAGCCGAGTACGCCCACTACACGAGACCCGAAGTATCAACTTGAAGGAGGTACGATTAAGGGGTGACTATACCTGGGGATCCAGAAACCTACCGGTTTAAGGGTTCGACCCAATAATTAAGGGGTCATAACCCACTCTTTTGTAGGGTTTGGGGTCACAGGTACGGCCTGCATAGTTTGGAATAGGGTTTTGTGGCATGTCCTAGTACAGTATCAACAAATTATCAGCAACCCTAACAAATGGGTGGTTGTCAAAATTATAGTCCCAAAGGTCCCTATTATAGTACGGCGCCTAATATTTGGGGTACCCAAAACAGGGGCCATAATTTTGACAACCACCCATACCATACTATACTACTATCCTAAACCCTAAACCCTAAACCTCCAAACCCTAAACCCCAAACCCTAAACCCTTAACCTAACAAGTTTTCAGTAACCCTAACAAATATGTTTGCTGTTGTTCTTACTGTTTTTGCTATCGCCTGGGTCTGGCCGCGAGGTCATTTGTACAGTTGATGATGTAAGTCCTGCATTACTTTAAAGACCCTAGACTATGGGAATTATGGTATATTCCTTATTGTGGGTACTGAAGTATTTATATCATCAACAGTAGGACATCTATACGAGTTCTAGAAGGGTTCAGGATATGTAGGACATGCCAGCGAGGGGCTTAGGATTTGAGGGTCACGAATTTGAGTTCAGGATTTAGGGTGCAGAGTTTAGGGTTTAGGGTGGCTACATACACATTGTCGAATTTGTGGCAGGCCAACAGAACCCCTCTGAATCCGCTGCACAGGGATGACACACCGTTTTCGGACAGCCCATGGCCCTACACCCTAGACCAAGAACACCAAACCACCAAACCTAGTTTTCATATTGGAGCCAAAAATGAGTCCAAAATCCTCTTCTATCAAGGCCGCTACATTCATTAAGCATTTCGGATTTTGAAGTGTTGGGTTTAGAGCTTGCGGTTTCGGGGTCATGGGCCGTAGGTTTTCATTGAGCCTTAGGGTTACACCTGAAGCCCTGAACTTTCGAACTAGTCTTCGGCTCAGAGCAGCCGTCGATTATTTGGTACTTCGACCCTCCGATCCCTGAGTGCCTGACCCGGAGCTCTTCCTCAGCAACCGAGGCTATGTTGGGGACCTGTCTTCTGTGAGTTTCACTCGTATGGACCCTCTGTCTGCACAGACGGTGGTTCAGGGCCGTTTGTGCTAAAGGTTTCCCATAAAGACTAGACTGGAAAGCCCTTGAAGGAACCTTAAATGGAACCCTTGTGCGAACCTTTGGGTGACCCTTGACGGGCCTCGCATGACCCCGATTTTGGGAGCTCATCTAGATTCGATCGATGGGGGCGCCAATGAATACCTATGAACCAGTCTGGAGCGCAGGGTTCAGGGTCAAGGGTATAGGGTCCTGAACCCGATCTCTCCAACTATAATATTGCAGACACCTAGAGTTCGATTGTTTGAACGCAGGGGGGCTGGACTTTCAGAACCATGCTTTGAGCCACGGCTGATGGTATAAATCCTGCATTTCCTTAAGGACCCTAGACTATGCGAATTATGGTATATTCTTTATTGTGGGTAATGCAGGAGTTATATCATCAATTGCTTTCGGAGCCTCTTGCACTTTTGACGGCACTTCGTTAGAGGCTTGACCTTCTGATGAGAATCTTCGCCAGGATTCACAGAGGGGCCCTGGTGTGAGTTGAGGGACTCTTTCAGAGGGCGCTTGGTATGAAATGAGAGATTCTTCAACCGGCCGCTCTTTGCATCCATCTCAGCATGTTGTGTTGCTGAAGATCCTCTAACCAAACCAAAGCCTTGAGACACAAAGGCATCTAGCCGGTTCCTTATAATTGTAGTATACTTATGGGCCCCAACACCCGATATAGTAGGCCTTTGCCTCACTTTTTGTCAGCCAGGAACGAAGCCGGTGTGTCACTGCGGTGCAGTGCAGGCCCCTAAAGCTCAAGCTCTTCTGGCAATCCCTGCAAGTAATAATGTATGGGCCTGAACAATGAGAATAGGGTTGTTTGGTGCATTTTGGTATAGTTATAATAAGAAACCATAAGGAGATAATAGCAAGAAACCATAAGGAATAGTTTTGGTTGCTATTTCTGAGCCCAACACCCAGGTGATGATCCACGCCGACGAGTTCGGCAAATGCATTGGCAGTGATGCAGCCCGGGACTCGAAGTCGGCATTGACCATTTACATAATCTTAAGAATACACGATAGTAATCATAAGAATAACTTTGATAATAATGCTACCACTACTACTACTACTACTACTACTACTACTACTACTACTACTACTACTACTACTACTACTACTACTACTACTACTACTACTACTACCACTACCACTACCACTACCACTACCACTACCACTGCCACTGCCACTGCCACTACTATGAACTGCACCCAGCAGCAACACAGGAGACATGCGCCGACAAGTAAGGACTGCACACAAGGTTCTAGGCCGTTGAGGCTCTTCGGGGTTATTCCATGTGAGGGTGTCGTTCTTGTTCTGCTATCAGTGCTGCTTGTACCAAGGACCTGCAAAGGCATGCTCATGCATACTGCATCGAGTATTTGGAAGCGCTGAATGGAATCACCGGCCTGAGTTCTGCTGTCATGGCTCTCTCGGGTGCTTAGGTCGGAGTGGTTGACGAAGTTCCTACAACAGTCCCTATCTAATTCCAGAAAGTAATGAGTACCTATATTCCCTCCTCCACTCCCTCAAGCATCAGCAAGACTTCGGGTTTGCGGTTTAGGGTTGAGGTTCCGGGGTTCCCAGTCAGCTGCAATTCAGGAGATTCGTTCAGGTTCAGACGAAATGTCGCTTCCCAAACTGAGTCCTATGAGCCTCGCTCCGGGGTTCTCCGGTTTGAGGGCTTCAAGCAAAAGTCCATTGCCTGATCTGGTCCCCGAGCTGGGGGAGCTAGACTATCGATTAGTGTCAGCGCCTTAATAACTAGAAAAGGGTTTGGGGATGTATTATACTAAAGTTATACTGAGGAACTCCCAAAACCCTACGAGCCTGGATCTGTTCTAAGATCCTCTTACTATATAGCTTCACTGTCAGCTACACTCTCCTAAGGCTCCATGTCCCTATATAGTACACACTTAGGCCTCAACGGGGTTTCTATGTTATTAAGGCTTCAGTATACAGTGAATAGATGGTTCTCTAAATCAGGGTCCGTTCTTTATCAGCGTGCCGTACTAGGTTTGGGCACATAAGAATAAGAAGCGACCCTAATGTAGGAACCTGATAAAGAAAACCTGGGCCTTTAACCCAAAGATGGTAGGGTTCATATGAAGAACCCTAATAAAGACCCAGGGTTTCTGAGTCAGGTTCCCCTGGGCAACAAAATAGCCCAAAAGCCTTTTGTAGTATGGTCTTTGGGCCCAACAGTCTTAATATATGAGTCCGTAGATGCCTAAGGTTCCTACACTACTTAAGAGAACTACCCCTATAGCTACAGGGAGCCCTACTTGGAGGGTCGGGGGACTTAGTAACTGGTTAGTTTAGGGACTTATAAGTACCATAACCCCAACTAGGGTCCCTTTCACGGTACTTATAAGTCTACTTTCTACCTACTTACTAAGTCCCTGAACCCTCAACCCTAGACCCTATAGTACCCTATAAGCCCTTTACAGGAACCCCTAGAATCCCCTTTAAAGGAGCCCCCTACTTACTAAGTCCCCTAAAGACCCTCCAAGTAGGCTCCCACAGGGAGGATTCTGAGTTGGCTCCAGTCATCGGCTCCAGGGTTCAGTTGGAGGGGTTAGGGCTGAAGGGTTTCAGGATCCAAGGGTAAAAGGAGGGACCCTTAATAAGGACCCCTAGGTATATACCCTTAATATAGCTATTATATACCCATTATATAGCCCATGATAGGTTAGGGCTGAAGGATACGATTGTGGGTAGTATTATTAGGGGGACCCCTTAAAGGGTACCCCTTCTGAACCCTACTTCTGGCTCTCTTAAAAGGGGCCTTATTGAGAGGGTCTATATCCCCAAGGGTCCCCCTAATCCTAACTCCCAGATTGTAATTGTAGAGGAATGTATAATAGCACAGAAGCGAAGGACAGCACAGGAATATAATGTTTTTGGGTTTAGGATCTGGGGTTTAGGTTATGAAGGCTCGCACGCAGAAGGCAAGGCCCGAACTCCTCAACCCCAAAAGGCCGCTTGAAGCCCAGACGCAACCATGAAACCCTCAAACCCCAACTAAACCCTAAACCCTAAGCCCCTGAACCCCTTAGCCCCTGAACCCCTAAACCCTTAAACCCTAAACCCTAAACCCTAACCCCTAAACCCTAATCCCTAAACCCCTAAACCCCTAACCCCTAAACCCCTAATCCCTAAACCCCTAAACCCCTAACCCCTAAACCCCTAAACCCTAAGCCCCTAAACCCTCACCCCTAAACCCTAAAACCCTCACCCCTAAACCCTAAAACCCTAGTCCCCGAGCGTAAAGCTTCAAAGTTGTGCCCAGATGCCCGTGCCCGAAACCGATTCATCCCTCGGGCCCTCTACAATAGGGGCCTGGTAATGACTATACTATTTTTTGGGGGGGTTCCTTAATATAATCAAGTTATAGTATCTATGCTATTGTGGGCTTTCCTGGTTTCCTAAATATAATTATAGTATCTAGACTATTTTCGGGGTTTCCTTGTTGTAATTTCAGTATAGTAGGCCAATTTCAGCCCGACTGGAAGGCGTGGTGAGCCTCCAAATCCCTGTGAAAACCCTGTTGCAAGAGCCGTCAAGAAGCCTAAATAAAACCAACTCCTCGACGGAACCCGAGGAAAACCTCACAACAAAACTTATCGCGCCTCCGATACAAGCAACCCTATGCGCACCCCATTATATAAATCTTGTCAGAACCTTCACGGCAGTCAATGCTTCGTAGGAGCCTCAATGACAGTAATCTGCACACGAACGCTTGTAAGAGCACGGAACTCTGACAGAAACATTTCAAATACCGTCAACATTTATCAACACATCTTTGTGAGCACGAAAAGCTGCTAAAGCCGCGATCAACCTGATATTGAGCCAGGTCAATCAATGGTGTGGATCTTAAAACTATGAAACTACTTCTTGGATGTTTAGATCATTTTCGGATTCGGGTAGATAAGGGCATTTAAACGGTTGATGAATGAGGAGTATACCAGAAAATCCCATAGTTTAGGGTCCTTAAGGTAATGCAGGATTTATACCATCAACCGAAGGAAGCCTCCTCCGCCAGGTCTGCAAGAGTTGACAGACCTTTGGCAATACCAACCGCTCAAGAGCGACGACGAAGAGAAGGTCGAAGCGCGCCACGCGGTGTTGTTTAGAAGTCTGAATGGTTGGGTTTACTGTAGGGATTAGCTTGCGACTTAAGAAGCTGTGGTTTAATGGTTGCATTTGCTGCATTTTTTAAAGTGTTATCTTTGACACTGTTTGTTGAGAGGGTTTTTTTAATGAACTGTGTTGCCTTGCGTGTCTGTAGATCCAGTGCTTACACAGGTTCGGTGTTGTTACACGCTAACAGGGATTGTCTGGAAGGTATTACCTTAAGTTTGGGGATAGGGACCCTGTGAACGCAGGGTGTGAAGGGTGGTTCACATAGTGCAAGGGTCGGAATAAAGAGGACTATTCTCCCCTTATTTTGCAAGGTCCATGTAGCTGTATTATGATATGCCCCAACACCCGATTTAAATGAAGGGCCCTGAATCACTTTATGGTCTTCGGGCCTCAAAGTCTGTGGATCCCTGATTGTTCAGGATCCTGTCTACTAGCATCACCTCATGACCCCTGGCACACTTATTTGGCGGATGAGAGCATCGAACTCTGCTTGTTGACTTTTATGCTTGGTCTTTGCAGACAGATCTTACTGGTACTAATCGCCATTTTCACCTCTATTGAAGGAGGTAGTCTTCACTCTAGGAATGAGCAAGACCGGGCAGATACACACCTAAACAGCCTAAACCAGAATCAGTCTTAAATTCTATTCCCGTAGACCTCATAAGTACACGGCGTTGTATACTTTAGAGGTTTAGCCCAAACCCTAAACCCTAAACCATTTAGAGTTTGGACGACTTAGTCCGGGCATACGGCCTTCACCCATTCACATTGTATCTTTTCATCTATATATTGCGGTTTCCGAAAATTCGGGGTACCGTTTTTAGGGTCCTGATAAAAAGGATCCTACTATTGAGGGTACTATATTAGGGTCCCCTATTTTCGGAAACTCCCATATCTATCCCGAGGGGCCCACATAGCACACACTCTAGAGTTAAAGGGTGCGTTAGGGTCAAAGTATATACTGCAAGGGTAGAGCGCTAGCCGCTAGTCGCAAGTTCCCTAAACCCTAAAAACACTAGACCCTCAACCCTAAATGGCTTAAACCCTGCACCCTTGACCCTCAATCACAACCGGAACGTCCACGGCAAGAGTCATGGCCAGAGAACCCTAAACCCTAAACCGACATAATTTGGCCTTGAGGTAACTGCGGAGTCCAGGAACCCGGACCTTCCAAGATCCATGAAGATCCCTTAATTTAAGGAAAGTAAACCAGGAAAAGGACTGTACTTTTTGTAAACCCTAACCGTAAAGGGTAAGCACCTGCACACCAAAGCCTGAACCACAGTCTCGGGGCGGGTTTTCGGGTGATCAACGCTAAACTCCAAACCCTTTACCTGAAACCCCAAACCCTATACACTGTACCCCAAACCCCAAACCCTATGAACCCTAAACCTTGAGAACCCCAAACTCTAAACCCTTGCGGTCTGGGTCCGGGTACCTTCGGGTCTCCGAACCCTATAGGGGATACATATGTACTCAGACCTTCCAAAACCCTTAAAAATATGTGTTCAATTCTAGTAGGATCCCCGCATGCATTTGATAAATCCTGAGCCCAGGCGAAACGTCAAGGTTTTCGACGAGATCTTGCTGCAGGCGATGGCGTCGTGGACGGCGCAATCACAAGCCAGGACTGCCTTCTGTCCCGAGTCTGGCGAACAGACTTTTCTCTCTATGTGGCCAACTAGTTGGTTAACTATCTGTCTGACTAATTTACTAATTGACTCAATATCGAGCTTCAACTACCTGTCTATCTGCAGCATATATACATACGTACTTACACATATGTATGTACGTATACGTATGTACGCATGCATGTATGTATGCAGGTATGTATGTATACAAATTATATATATATATATATTAATATATATTAATATATATTAATATATATATATATATATATATATATACACACATATACAGAGAGAGAGAGAGAGAGTTGTTGATATACTTATTCATTCTTTAAGTGCCTAGCCGCATACGCATTTTGGGCGGGCTCTTCCACATCGAACAGCCGAACCTCTGGCGAATGTTTTGCGAGATTGGCCGTTATACTGACTGTCCCTAGACCCCAGCAACCTAAAACCCTAAACCCCTAAACCCTAAACCCCTAAACCATAAACCCCCAAACCCCGAAACCCTTAAACCTTTAAACCCTAAACCCTAAAACTTAAACCCTGAACCCCCAAACCCCTAAACCCTTAAACCCTTAAACCCTAAACCCTAAACCCCCAAACCCTAAACCCTTAAACCCCTAAACCCTAAACCCCCAAACCCCCAAACCCTAAACCCTAACCGCTAAAACCCTAAACCTCCAAACCGTAAACCCTAACCCCTAAACCCTAAACCCCCAAACCCTAAACCCTAACCCCTAAAACCCTAAACCCCCAAACCCTAAACCCTAACCCCTAAAACCCTTAACCTCCAGACTCCAAACCATAAACCCTAAACCTTAAACCCTAAACCTCCAAACCATAAACCCTAAACCCTAACCCCTAAAACCCTTAACCCCCAAACCATAAACCCTAACCCCTAAACCCTAAACCCCCAAGCCCTAAACCCTAACCCCTAAAACCCTTAACCTCCAAACCATAAACCCTAAACCTTAAACCCTAAACCCCCAAACCCTAAACCCTAAACCTTAAACCCTAAACCTCCAAACCATAAACCCTAAACCTTAAACCCTAAACTGCATCTGCGGTGTGGCAGCTTCGAAGTTTCGGTCTGGGTTTTGGGATATGGTAGTTTCCGAAAACAGGGGGACCCTTTAAGGGTTTCCTTTAAGGGATCTATGAGGGTTCAGGGTTTAGGGTTTAGGTTTGGGAGCTGCCGAAAACGGGGGACCCTAATCTAGTACCCTAAATACTAGAATCCTTGTTATAAGGACCCCAGACTAAGGTACCCCTAATTGTCGGAAGCTCTCATATACAGTTTGGCTGCAGGATTGGGGGTTTTCAGGATTTAGGCTAGCACGGTTTCTGGGAGTTTTCACCGAAATTCTGCCTCTGCCGATCTTGCATTGAGAGGAAACGCTCAAGTTGTTCCGAGCCCCCTCGTAAATGGCGGCGACATCAGCCCTGGCTTGGACAAGAGGCCCCCGTGCAGGTTTAGGGTTTAGATACGGTTTCAAAAGGGCTTATTGGGTTTCATATGGGTAGGTCTCTAAAGCAGAATCGCTTTCTTAGGTCCTCGAACTAGTATACGGCACCCTTATAAGAAAGGACCCTAATGTGGGACCTTAATTTTGAGAGTGACTCGGTATAAAGGCCCTAGCATAGCGGCAAAGCGGCCTTGCAAGTCGGGTTAGGGTTTAGGGCTCAGAGTTAAGGGGTTTAGGTTAGAAGCTGCCCCCACCCTGTAATAGTGACTATAAGGATTATATAGGATTATATTAGGGCCCTATTATATTCCTATTATACCACTATTACAGGGTGGGGGCAGCTTCTAAGGTTTAGGGTTTGCGTGTTTAGGGGTTAGGGTTTAGGCTTTAGGGTTTAGTTTCAGCTCATACCCCAGCACAGCTAGATTGGGACTGCAGGGGATACTTCCCTGTCCTGAAATTGAGGGTGGAAGGAGGCTGCATAGGTTTGGGAGCGCTTGCAATAAAGAGCTTCGTATTCAGGCTCTACATTGGTCTACTGCTTGGAGGTTCATGGGTAGTTATAAGTAGGGTTACAAGTAGGGTAGCTATACTTATAACTCGAATTAGGGGACTTATGACCCCACCTATAACTACCCATGAACCTCCAAGTATTTCAGGTTGATTTGATATAGGGTTCTTCATCAGTCGCCCTGAAACTCGACATCTTTGACCTCCTACACCCCAAAAGGCAAAGCCGCAACGTGGAGCAACAAAGCCGCAATACTTTGCGTACTACCCCCCACTCTGAGACGGTTAGATAATGTTCAAAATCTAGATATAGAAGGGCCTGAAGTAGGGGGCAGTACCCAAACAATACTAGTATCACTACGCCTCAGGTCTCCGTGTGATAGTTACAACCTAGTATAAGCACCAGATCATGCTTATCAAGGCCGCTTTGTATGCTCCTACAGTCTAGACTGAGTGTTAAGGTGAGTGTCAACAACGGTAAGCACCGAGCATGCTGTACAGGATTTACAGAGCGTACTGAGTAGTTACAGCTCCACTCGTCTAAAAAAGGAGCCGCCTTGCACCCCTCCTTATCTGGTTATGATATGGTACTGAACCCGAAGGACTACTATTCGTAATCGTCCAGGCTGCTATATGCGGCCATAGGTAGGATTCAACATGTAGCGTTCAGGGTCTGGGGGTTCGGGTCTACCTTGAGCCCGCACCTTCCTCTATTGCACCTTATGCAACCGCAATCAAGCACCAAGCCCCGCGCCGTAAGGACCTTACTTTACTACATTGTCTTAAAGGAACCATAATGAAATAGAAGTTACTACGTGCTTCTCCCTGGTTACTTGAAAGCCCAGTTCTATATGGGTGGTTGTCAAAATTATGGTCCATTTTTTGGATCCTTATTATAATACGGCACCTAATATTTAGGGAGCCCAAAAAGGGACCCTAATTTTGACAACTACCCATATGTTTGAGGATTCTCCACTTGGAGTTTAGACAGGTTGCACACAGAGCTGAGCCTGTCTTCGGGGTCCTACTCGGGTCTGGTTTTTCCCTAAGGGTCCAAAGGACCTAATAATTAGGTATTCGGTTTTAGGGTAGTAGTTACGTAGGCTAGGATTTAGGATAGTAGTTATGCAGGTTAGGATTTTGGAGAGTTTTGATTACTAGGTACTTGGACCCTTGGGGCTTTGGGTATGCTAAAGTGAAGCCGCAGAAAGCCTGACCCAGAGACTCCGACATCCCTTAATAAAGGAAGATACCTTAAATTATAGTTAGATCCCTAGTATTATTTAAAGTATATCCCGTAGTTCCGTCAAAAAAGATCCCTTTCAGGAACCCTCTACGGAAGCCTATAAGGTATATTCCATAAGAGAGCATGGGCTTTGGAGTGCTATGCTTTAATACTTTTTCCTACAAGAACCACCCTAAACTCTAAACCTTAAACCCTAAACCCTAAACTCTAAAGCCTAAACCTTAAACTTTAAAGCCTAAACCCTAACACCCCAAAATACTTTTTTCTCCCTGGTTCCTTAAAAGCCCAGTAATACTGCTGATGGACAAAATCCTGCATTGCCCATTATAAGGAATATACGGTAGTTCCCATAGTTTAGACCTTAAGCCGGAAAAACCTACCTTTTTAAGGACTTATATAAGGAAATCATAATAAGGAACCGTATGATTGAATCCTCGGCCTTCTCTTTGGGATGTTTCGGCTCACTGGCTTTCCGGGCTTTCGGGGGTTTAGGATAGGGTTCCTTTACTTGGAGGGTCGGGGGACTTAGTAACTGGTTGTTTTGGGGACTTATAAGTACCATAACCCCAATTAGGGTCGCTTTTGAGGTACTTATAAGTCTACTTACTACCTACTTACTAAGTCCCCCGACCCTCCAAGTAATGGGTTCTTATAAAGGGTCTATAAGGGTTACTGAAAGGGTTAGTATAAGGGTTGAGTATAGGGGCCTTAATGATTAGAACAGGGTTTGGGTGTATATGATACTACCATTATAACCAGGAAGCCCCCCAAACCTTTTTCAAATTATTGCGGCCGCTACATGCTGTTGGGGTTTCGGTGCTTTTGGGTTTAGGGTTAAGGGGCGTTTAGGTTTTTGGGTGAGGGCTTTTGGGTTTCAGTGCTCATGGTTGAGAATTGGTGAGGCGCGGCAGACAAGTGAGCAGCAGCAGTGACTTGAATTTGGATTGAGCTGTTCAGCTCAAAGACGAGTTGCTGAGTACCTGAATATGCTAGCTTTGCAAGTCCACGCTGAAAATGGTCTTAGCACGCCAAGCGCTAAGACCTCTAGACCTGAAGACTTGAACTAAAGATGAGACCCACAATAGGAACTCAAACCTTAGCACTCCAAACAGCCCCAAGTAGGCACCCTACTTTGTATCCTGCGCAGGTATTATACATGCCCTCGAACTCGAAACCCAAACCCCAGCAGCACAACACCGCACACTAAACCCGGGCAGTTAAGCCCCAAACCCTAAGCCCTACAAGCCCTGAAGTTCAATGCACAGAAAGAAGACTTGGGCTCAGCTGTTCGCGCGACTGATTTTTCAAGTGCCTGCGCTCCCTTCTGCTCTCTCCCCCACAGTGGGGGCGGGGCGGGTTGTTAGTGTTTCATAAGGGAAGTAAAAGGTCTCCTTAGCCTATACGGCGTTTCCAGAGGGTCAAAGGTGGTCGATTCGGGTGGTGTGAGGATTTTAAGGTTTAATTCAAGTGTTATACAGAGTTGAATACAGGTTCTATCAGGTTTTTGTTGCCGGGTTCTTCAAGCAAGGCGTCCTTTTAAAGCCTCTAAGGATCTTACAGTTGACAATACAGTTCGATGCGGTGCCCGAGGGGTCTACAGTAAGTAGTCCGTTGGTGGCTTCTGGTTTTTGAAAGGACCTACGTCTGTAATTTCGGAGCACTTGGACCCTTAGCGGAGTTTCTTCAGTTTGACGTGGTTCTATGTTCATGATCCTAGTACTTGAGGCCTGCAAACACCTAAGCACTCACTTGCAGCTTCTAAACTTTTCTATGCTTGGGGTCCATGTCTAAGCAAGTAAGGTGCCCCAGATGCACTAGAATTCAGGTTG